ATTAAATTATATCATTTAAAAAGAAAAATATTTTTTGGCATTAGCCAACATTAAAACTAAAAAAGATCAAGATTGTTAAATGTTGAAGACGATATGAGAGTAGCATTGTCATTTTTACGACCAAATATAAATGAAATTATCAAAAAGCATATTTTTATTATTAGCTTGTAATTAATCCCTTAATAAACGTTTAGTTATTATTGTAATATATATTAGTTTATTTCGTATATTTAAAATTTTTATCATAAACTATTTATGCAGTGTGTTGTGGTAAGTAAATAATTTTTATCTTTTTCTTTGTGTGCCGCCAAATTTTGAAATCGTTTAATATGTGCCGCAACGAAAAAAAGGTTGAGAATCACTGTCCTTTTTTTTTTTTTTTTTTTTTTAACGATGGGAAATGCATCATGCATACTCTCCTTAGGGGAAGCAAGGAGAGTTATGTTGGACTCCCGCTCTGAGAAGGGCAGACCTACCAACTAAAACCCATCGGGTGTCCTCCTCTGCCGTCAAATGCTGGATTGCAGGGCCCGCTTAAGCGATTCTGCTGCAACCCAGCCACGGCTACCCCGACCCTGCACAGGGCTGGGGCACACCACGAAGGGACTTTTGTCCCCGTTCTCCACATGAGTGCCCATGACACCAGTGGGCACTTAGTCTTCGCGGGGCCTCATACCGTTAGGTGACAGACGTCCCCACGTCTGTCACCCGGAGGCCCATTAGGGCGGGAGACGGCGCTCGTGTGCCGCCCGCCTTCTCCCCATGCGACGTCGCCGGATCGGGTCGGAAGAAGCATTCTCCTCCCTCTCCCTTTCGGCGGCCTCCTTCTGTAAAACGACTATCTCGCAGAAGGAGGCCATCGCCCTCCACGCCGCCCTGCTGTCGACCATTGTTCTAAAGATGGCCGGCAGCGAGAGATCCGACCCGACGACGTCACGGAGCCGCCCTCGCGGCTCCTCCCACGCCGGGCATTCCGTCATCGTGTGCTGCGCCGTATCGTCGGCGCAGGCACAATGGTGGCACCTTTGGCTCGGTTCCCTCCCGATAGCGTGCAGGTAATGACCGAAGCATCCATGCCCAGTCATCACCTGCACCATCCGGAATGACAAACTGCCATTTCGGGAACCGATCCACTTCTCCAGGACAGGCCTAATGGCCTGTGCCACTCTATGTCCGGCAGTGGGAGCCGCCAAACGTTCCTGCCAGGTGCGCATCAAAATGATGCGCGCCTGGCGTCGCCACCTTGCGATTCGTTCGGTGGAAACGTTATCGCCGCACCCCTTCGCCTCAGCGACTCGGCGATATACCTCCGCGAGGACTTTAGCCTCTAAGTCCCATGGTGGGGATCCCGCCAAAGCACACGCCGCCTCGCCGGCCACTGTGCGGTAGCCGCGTATAGCCCTGAGTGCCATGGCGCGCTGCGGTCGTCGCAGCAACGCTCTATTCGTGGCACTCAAGGCATCCACCCACACAGGAGCTCCGTAGAGGGCCATCGATCTGATGACCCCCATGTACAGGCGGCGGCAGACCGACCCTGGTCCCCCCACATTAGGCAAGAGGCGTCCAAGAGCAGCGGATGCCTTTAACAGATTCGGTGTCAGCCGGCGAAAGTGAGCGGCGAACGTCCACCGTCCGTCTAGGACGAGTCCGAGATACTTCATCTCGGACTCGACCCGGACCTCCACTTCTCCGATCCGGAGTGGTGTGCCTGCAGCCAGCCTCCTTCTAGGTCCATGGAAAAATAGGGCCTTGGTTTTCTCAAGGGCCACCCGTAGGCCTTGAGCTCTGATGCGGGACACCACTAGTCCCACACCGACCACCGCCAGCTGGGTCGCCTCCTGATGCGTCGCGCCGCGAGCAAGAACGAGTGTGTCGTCAGCATAGCAGACAACACGAAGCCCGCGCAGCAGGGCACCACGGGAGTACCCTGTCGTAGCCGATGTTCCACAGGAGTGGGCCAAGGACCGATCCCTGTGGAACACCGCACCACGTTTTCCCTCTGTACGAGGACGCCATCGCGCCCTACACACACAACGCTCCTTCCCGTAGGTACGCCACAATAAATGCACGCAAGTACCGGGGGAGTCGGTGGTATCGGAGGCCCTCCTCGATGGTAGCGAACGGCAGGGTATTGAATGCGTTTGCGATGTCAAGAGACACCGCCAACACCACGTTGCCGTTTGCCGCCTGCTCCTCCGCATACCCCTTGACACACAATATGGCGTCTATTGTGGAGCGCGATGGTCGGAACCCGTATTGGGCGTCGGACAGGTCAGGACCCTCGCGCATCATATGACGTATGATGCGCGAGGCGACCACCCTCTCCAACAGCTTACCGGCCTCGTCCAACAGGATGATTGGCCGGTAAGCCGAGGGCGATTCTTCAGGGCGTCCCTCCTTACGAAGGAGAACAACCCTGCCCGCCTTCCAACACTGCGGGAACTCTCCACGCCGAAGGCAAGCGGTGAAAAGCTCCCTCAAGCGTTCCTCTAGGGGCCCCAAGGCCAAGACCAGAGCCCTGCGGGCACACCATCGGGGCCAGGGGCCGTTTTGCGCCCACGAAGCCGCAGAAGTGCGGCTCCCATCTCACCCTCGGATACCAGAGGCACCTCCTCGGTGGTTTCCGGCTCAGGCACCGGTGGGATAACGCCAGTTGGGGCCGGGAACAACGCCTCCAGCACCGTGGCCAGCCGTTCCGGTGGAATAGAATCAGCAGGCGGCGGACCCCGACCAAGCTTGCCCCTGGTTGCTCGGTATGGACGACCCCAGGGATCGCGGTCCAAGCCCGCGAGGAGCTCACCCCAGGCAGTGTCTTTGGCCCTCAGGATGGCCAGCTGCAAGGATTTTTTGGCGTCGTGATACGCCCTCTGCAGATGGTCATTCAGTTCCTCATTCCGAGGCCGCCGCCGCCGCTGTCGTTGGAACTTCCGGCGGGCGGCGACACAGCGTCGCCGAAGATCCGCAATGTCAGGTGACCACCAGTACACCTGCCTCTTTTGAGGTCTTTGCCGCACGCGGACCATGCAGGCATCGCAGACCCTGGTGATCGCGCTGCGGAAACACATCGCCTCCTCGTCCGTCGTCCCCGGAGGCGGGGAGCTCCAGGACTCGACGATGGCGGCCTCCTTCAGCAGGTCAACGTCCAACCCCGCGAGGGCCCATCGCGGAAACGTTGAGGCCATCGCAGGGAAGGCGGGGACCAACTGCATCCCTCTGGAGGAGGAGACGCTGAAGCGGATATATAAGTGATCCGACAGCGTCTCCACCTCCCCCATAACTCGCCAATCTCGTACTGCCTGAGCAACCGCCGGGCTCGCAAAGGAAAGGTCTACAATGGACCCCCCTTGGACCCGAACACAGGTTTGTGATGTGCCGCAGTTGAGAAGTGCCAACCCAGATTCCGTGGCCCAGTCTTCAACCGCAATCCCCCGCACGTCTGTGGCAGGCGATCCCCAAGCCGTATTCTTGGCATTAAAGTCGCCCGCCACAATTACCGGTCGAGGTGCAACTCGCCTAATGACCGCCTGCATATCACCGAGGAGCGTCTCGAGTTCAGCGAGGGTTTTGTTTGGGGAAAAATACACCGAGAATATTGTGTATTTCCCCCAGTCGGCCGCCACAAAACCATTTCCCCTCTCTTTGACGGAAAGGGGCGTGGTACCATCTGGAACATAGATGGCCGCCGTGCCCGTAGCATCCCCTATCCAGTTGGCGGGTATGCAATAAGGCTCCGCTACCACCGCCAGTCCAATTTGCCATTGCGCCAGTGCCTGGAATAATAGATCCTGGGCACCGGCGCAATGGTTTAGGTTTATCTGGAGGAAATGTCTATCCCTATCCATTATTAGAGTCGACACACATTTCCTCTTGTCGGGACGAATCCCGATCCACCTGCTGGGATGCCGGGGTCCTGCCGGCTTTTTTCCCTTTTTTCGGTGGGGAGCAACCCTTAGCCCCCACCGAGTGCTCAGCTGGCCTACCTGCAACTGCGCATACTGCGCAGTGGGGTTTGGCTAAGCATGCCGCTGCTTTGTGTCCAGAAGCACTGCAGCGATAACAAATATCGCTGCGGTCCACCTCCGAAGTGCACTGGAGTCGCGTGTGCCCGATTTCTAGGCATCGGAAGCACTTCATAGGGCGCGGCTCCAGGGACTCGACGTGCACATAGCTCCAGCCAATCCTCATACTCCGAGCTGACACCAGGACCTTAGCAGCTGCCACTGGACATTGCACCCAGATGCAGCCAGTGCCCCGGCGGCCCTCCCGAATTTCGCCCGCCTTGACGTGGTCAAGGGGACAGGCGGCTGCAGCGACAATCGCAGCGAGCACCTCATCCCTGGTGACGGAATCATCCAGGCCAGTAAGACGCAAATCCGCGCACTTCACCGGCCTGGCGATCCGTGCTTCTCCGGCGAGGACCTCACGGAGCTTCGCGGCGAAACTGTCCGCTGCTTCGCTCGTGACCCCTGCTGGAAGCTCGAGAACTCGAGCTCCCGTGGCCGCCTGCCTTATTTTCAGGCCTGCCGGGATGTTCAAGGCCGTCAGATCTAACCTCTGACGGGCTTTGGTGAGAACATCACTATACGTAACCCCCTTTTCGACGGCATCGTGCTGTAGTGTGATTACTACAGCTGCCGTCGTAGGGGCACGTAGTTTGCGGGCTCTACGCCTCCGCTTCTTTTTATTAGCGGCGGCTGGCGTCGCAGTGGCCACAGCGGGTCTTGATGCCGTACCGGACTTGGGCACCGCAGCGGATCCCGTTGCGACCAATGGGGGCCTCGGCACCGTAATAGATTTCACGGCGGCCGTAGGTGGCTTAGGCGTCGCGACGGGCTTAGCCACAGACTTCTTTGGCTTGGCGGAGATGGAAGCCGACATCTGCACGTCAAGCGCGGGCGCTGTCTTCTTTCCCTTCCCCTTTCCCTTCCGTACCACTGCACTCCACGTCTCTCCCAGAGAGGTAGGGGTGGGATCTGGTGCCGATGAAGGCCCAGGTTCGGCGCTACGCCTATCCGCAGCCAAAGGCGGCCTCAGGCGCTTCTCCGGGAGCAAGCGCTCCTCGAGAGCCTCGAATCGCGCGCTGATCATCGTCCCTACTTGGGATAGTACATCACGCGCGATATGCTCAGCCTGCAGTGTTGGTGCCGGCGTCCGTTCCTGGGCTGGGCGAGCCGCCTTCTCTATACTGAGACGCATGCTAGCAACCTCCTTTTGGAGCGTCGCCACCTCGTCCCGCAGCCGTTTGTTGTCGGCCTGGAGGCGGCGGGTTTCATCAGTCGATGATATGCTCTGTAGACCGTTCACCGCCTCCCGGATCATCTCAGCCGCTTCCTTAAGGGCTTTTACAAAAGTGCCCTTCAGGTTCTTTGATTTCGTAGCGACTTTGGTGATGACTTTAATGCCATCATCGACCCTCTCAAGCAGGGTCGAAGAAAGGCGAGAGTCGACTACGTCGTCAAAGCCAGCGGGGCGCAATGCTCTATCGAGCCGGCGCCTTTGGATCAGCTCTGGAACCTCCTTCTCCGCCTGGAGCTCCATCTCTGCCCTCCTGGCTTCCATGAGCTCCCGCTTCCCTTTCGCCAGCCCCAAATACTGCCCACTATTGGGCGGGCGGCCTCTACCCCTTTTAGGCACAGGGGTGCCTCTCCTTTTGAACGCCGAAGATTCCGGATGATCATCTGCTTCGGCGTCTGCATCCGAGGCGCGAGTGCGCTTCTTGCGCACTCTCTGGGCCTCTCCGCTACCCATACTGGCGAAGCTAGCGTTGCTAGCTACGAGAATCACTGTCCTAGGGTAAGTAAGGTAAGGACAATGTTTTATTAATAAATTAGAAATTAAATTTTATACAGTCTAGAATGACAGTTGTAACTATATGCCAATATAAATTCAATCAATTCCATTAAATTTCTATATAAAGGTAACATTGCCTATTGGTTTCTGTTATTATAGCAATCATACTCGAAACATTTATTAGAAATCCATTGGACTTTTATTTAAATCTGTTTATACATGGTTTGTAACAGATGATTTTCAATAATAATTTTATGTTATTTGTATAGATATATTGAAAATGGATCTAATGTTTCTTGTGTTCATTCTTTTAAAGGGGCCTCGCTACAGTCTTCGTTGTTGCACGAATGGGCAGGTCCGTCCGGGTAAGTACCACGGCCTCACAGAAGACTGGCGTGAAGTGGAAATTATATGCGTCTGGTGAGTGAGGTGAATGAAACCCACTTTATAAAAGATGGCAATTCATCTGCAACCGTAGGGATGCAAATGTCAATTGGCGGTGGTTACCACTTAACGTCACGTGAACCGTCAGCTCGCCAGATTCTAATATAAGTGTGCCGGTCAAGTGCCAGCCGAACTCGTACGTCGAGGGTTCCGTACATACCCATTATATCGCCATAATAAAATTGGTAAATGATCATCACCGATTTTCTCAGGAACAGGTGGACGTAGCAAGTTGAAATTTACTCATTACGAAACAGTGGTAGATTTTAAAAAACAATTATCAGTTTCTGACAATCTTAAAGTGTCTCTCTATTTGTAAGTTTTGTATCTTGCTTTTATAGGGTTCCGTACCCTAGGGTAGGGTCTGTCTGTTCGTCTGTTTCCAGGCTGTGTATTATTCTTGGCTTCTCTTGCAGGTACGATAGTGAGGGACGAGGCGGGGCGGGTGGTGGGGGACCTGTCGAGCGAGGGCGCGATGTTCGTGGCGGCCAGGGGAGGCGCGGGCGGCAGGGGCAACAAGTTCTTCCTCACCGACACACAGCAGGTACGAATTGCTTATATCGCTAGCTGTGTCTGCGCTGGGTTCCATCCCTACTACTACTGGAAAATGTTGTGTGATGAACACCGTGATTTTCTAGTTTCTGAGTGTGTATATTTTTATTTACAAAAAAAAAAGTATATTTAAATATGTTTATCAGTTTTCTAGTACACCTTAGCACAAGTGTTGCTTAGTTAGGGACTAGAGAATGTTCTGTAAAAATGTGTCCTAAAATATTTAATATTTATTTATTTTAATGAATTATTAGGTATTAATAGATAGGAGAAACCCCACTTTAAGGGCACTTACACGTCTACGGCATTCGCGGCCTAACGCTTTAGACACTAATCTAAACGGCTGATTGCCACACCGATTTAAATCAGAGATTAGCACTAACAAAAGTTTAAATTTCTAAATAGCAATGGCGACATCTCTCGTTCGAATTATCGGTGTAAAACGATATTCGAAATTGTTTGTTTGCTGGAAATGATATAACAATGGATGCGCCAAGCATTGCTTCAAATGCTAAAAAGCAATGTAGATTTTCAAAACGTTTTCGTCCGCTCCTCACGCCGGTCTTCTGTGAGGTAATATCTGCGGGTCACACAAATAGTTGTCCCGTGTGGGAATCGAACTTACTAACCGCGGCGCCTTCTTCTCATTCATCACGTTATTTTATTTTAACGGGAAGCTAGATAACTAACGATGAAAATTACACAGGCACCGGACATAGCTGAGTTCGGGGCTATAGGGGAGAGCAGGGTATACTCCCTGGAGGTGCGGTCGATGGCCCACGTGGGGCTGATAGGGTTCCCCAACGCCGGGAAGAGCACCCTGCTGCGAGCCCTCACCAGGGCGAGGCCAACAGTAGCCCCCTACCCGTTCACCACCCTCCGTCCCCACATCGGTAAAGCTCCATTGATTATCTATATAATGCTCGCAGTACAAGAATGCTTCAATAGATTGACAGGTTTAAGTTTTGTTAATAAATATTGTTGATGAACTTTGATTTGTTGAATTGTATTAGCATTGTTCTTGTCAATGAAAGATGTTTAGAAACAGTATGCATTTTTTTATTTATTATTTTATATTTTATATATTTAATATTGATTTCTTTTATTTTTTAAGTACTTACTTATAAAAGTATATTCTGTGAACAGTAAGCGAAAACAAAGTTTTCAAAACTAATATTTCATTATGTTTCTATCAAACTTTCAATAATGATTTATTTCTACCAGTTTTTACAGTAGTTATAGTAGAACCAGTAATAGTACCTCAACTCATCGTATAAAACAAATCGAAGGTAGGAGATATAATTTTAAAGGAAATAAAAATAAACAAATATTCACAATCCAATATAAATAGTAACTATAAAGAATACCTGTTTGGGAATTTTGATATGTATAACACTGGAAAAAAGAACTTATAAATAAAACTGAATTATGTTGTAAAATACGTATGTTATGTTCTCGTGCAGGCATGGTGCCTTATGACGACTACGAGCAGGTCGCGATAGCAGATCTTCCCGGTTTGATTCCTGGCTCGCACAAGAATTATGGACTCGGTGAGCTACTTTCAGTATGGCTTTGGTACTTTATTTTTATGTTATACCAGTCTTTTGTGAGGTCGTGGTAATTATCCGGACGGAGCTGCCCACTCGTGCAACAGCGAACACTGGCGTGAAGCGTTACACTTGTGCGGTTCGTCCGGCGATTGAATTGCGAATGTCCATGGGCGGCGGTTGTTACTCAACATCAGGTGAACCAGCTAGTTTGGCACTTCATGACATAAAGAAATTGCCTGCAGGGGTCCAGTTCCTGCAGCACGCCGAGCGCTGCCGCTGCCTGCTGTTCCTGCTGGACGGCGCCTCAGAACCGCTGCAGCAGCTGCGGGCGCTGGAGCACGAGCTGCGCATGTACAGCGCCGCGCTGGCGAAGCGGCCCCGGCTGCTGGTGCTCAACAAGCTGGACCTGGGGGGCGTGGCGGGGCGGTTGCACAAGTTGCGGCCCTTCGGCGACGCGGTGGCCGTGTCCGCCAAGTGCGGCACCAACCTGGCTCAGCTGCTGCGCCTGATCAGGGCGATGTACGACGCGGGCGGACGATAAATTTCCTTTTCTGATACCGCTGTGTTAATTCAGCCCGATGTGTTTGTTCACTGATAGCGGTCTCTCTTATTTCGTGATCAAAAATGGACAGGAATATCGCGTGTCCATACTGCGCGGCGTTTAACGGTGAATGTTACTGGTGATATAGAACATACGATATGGACGGTTTCGGTGTGCCAGTGTCATATTGTATTACAATACTATTAAATAAAATATAGTAGTCTCTTTTTTTGTAAAAATGTGCTGAATAAATACACAAAATCAAAATTAATAATGTAACTCACACAACTAAGAATGTCTAAGACTGGTTGTTAAGTTGCTTTCAAGTTTCAAGTTAAAACTCACTTTTGTCCATTCTCTGATGACAAGATTCTTTTTTGAATGATCATCGCAATTAGAATCGTTATAGTTTATTATAAATCTTTATAACTGACCTTTTTCGAGTTTCATAATTAAAAAAATTGCAGGGGCATGAACTGGTTTTCGGCAGACTGTTAGCCAATCAGAGCATTGTACATCACGCTTACACCAGATATTAAAACATTAATCTTCTCGTTAACATATTAACGAAACGTCAACTTTTTTAAATTTAAGAACGTAAATTACAGAAGTTAAACTATTGCAACAATAAATGAAACAAAATTCAAAATGATCGTTTTATTTACATCCATTAGAAAATCTCACCGAATTCATTTATTTAATTGACATTAACTGGGCAGTCTGCATGTTTCCTATTTCGTCCCACAATGGGGCAAAAAACCAGCATTCTCCTCAAGGCGGCCTGACAAAGTTTGGGATCAGAAATTAACCTTAATCGAAATCATATACTGTTTCATTCAAAATTTCATACATTTTAAGCTAATGCGAGAAACGTGACACATCCGAAGTAACATAGACTGGCATCCTGGCTGTAAAATCATCTGCTGGAGAACTGTTGAATCCGGGGTTAGTCACTTTGAGTCAAATCAAAGCCGCCTGCAGTCCGGCTTAAGCGACTTTGAGCCGGACATAATAAGCCACTTTGGGCTGGGCTTAAACCGCTTTGAGCCAGATCAAGCCGGCTTGGGCCACTCTAAGCCGGCCCCGGGTGGGGAGCCTCGTGGGCGGGCAACAGAGCAGCCAAGCCGTCTCCAGCCAACTTCTTCGCCCTCTTAGACTTCTTAGGCTGCACTTTCATCTGTGGAGATACGGGGAGTGTATTTATGTATAACTAGTGCACGAAAATTGGTTTATTCATAAGAGCATATCAGGGGCTGTTTGAAAGAATTTGCTACGAGCACCGCCGGGTGTGGGAATGTGATGCGTGGGCGTGGGCTACCTTGTAGTGCACCTCGCGCACGTGCCGGTAGAGGATGTTTTGTTGGGCAATTCGCCCGGTGAAGCGTAGCGAGAGTGGGGGTGGGCGTGGGCTACCTTGTAGTGCACCTCGCGCACGTGCCGGTAGAGGCTGGAGTACCAGCCGAAGGCGGCGCTGCACCGCTCGCACTGGTAGGGCGTCTCGCTCGTGTGCATCGCCACTATGTGGTACTTCAGCTTGGCGCCGTTCTTTGGTAAATAATAAATTATGACACTATTAGTGGCGTAAAAATTGTTTAATTCGGCTGTTGCACGAATGGGCAGGTCCGTTCGGGCAAGTGCCCATTCGTGTCTTGTGTCTACTTAGCATTTTCATCCCAAAGCATGCTATTATAACTATCAATTCAATCAATCAATCAATCAAAATATATTTATTCAAATAGACGCTTGCGCGCTCTTATGAATCGTCAAATTTTACATCAAAGATTATGTGTATAGGTTCGTAAGGTACCACCGGTTCGGAAAGCGGTTTCTGTTGAGAAGAGACCGGCAAGAAACTCAACAGTTGCTCTTTTTCAAAAATATCAGGGTACAATATAATATACAGGATTCAATTTCGTAATACGAAACTAATTTTGAGACAACTGATTAGTGTTAGCATTTTCATTTTATTTTATAAGGAAAATTACAGCTATTATGTACTTACTTTAAAAGAATATTGTAACATATACAGCGTGTCTTTACCACCGCGACAATAAATGAACACACGTCTAACGCTACTTGCCAATAATCATAAAAAAATATTAACGTTAAAAAATCCATAATTAAAAAAATATATTTTTCAAACAAACTAATTAAGTAAAAGAGAAACAATATTTGTAACATCCTATACAACTACATCTGTCTGATTCATACATTCAGAGACTTTTTCATTCGTTGCCACAGCGTCGCAATACAAGCCTATCCTTCTAACAGTATGTTTTGTCTCTTTTACATTCATTTTAATCCATTCATATGCTTTGTGACCTTTACAAATGAATTTTAAATTAAAGTTTTATATGGAAGGTTTTTCTAAAATTGTTTGTTTTGGAAAATTTAATAACTCTGTAATTATTGATGTTTAAAGAATTTAAATGTTTAATACAACTTTAAAAAGTTATCCTCTATATGTGTGTTCATTTATTGTCGCGATGGTAAAGACACGCTGTATAAAGAGCCAATTACAAGATTCCACCTTTAGTACATAATTATGTTCTAAGAAAAGTCGAGTAAGTGATGAAAGAAAAAAAAAAGAAAAAACGTATTTGTAATTAACTAGTCGTTTCACCTGGTAGGACTTGCCGCACACGTGGCAGAGGTTGTCCCGCGAGTGCCTCTCGCGGTGGACGTTCTGCGTGTGCACGTACAGGGACGTGTGGCACTTGTACGGCTACGACCACGACCACGACCACACACGACCACGCCACATGCAAGCGAGGAAACCCGTTACAAATAAATAAATAAATAAACACTTGCCGGGCGAGCACGTTATCTCACGACCACTCTGTAACAACAGTCAGTTCGACCATACTTCCATATAACCCACGACCACTCGCTGATTGGGCTGCCGTGCAAGCGACACAGCGTGTCACATCACTTGCGTCGATACGACCGCACCACTGTAATTCCCCTCTATCTCACGACCACATATATCACAATGCACATTAATGCCGCAGGCCTTGATAACACTTACGGCCATGCAAACATACGGCGCCACGACCAATCCATACATACTTAGAACATTAGGGTAAAAAGTCTTAGACCCTTATTTAGCGTAGTGGATAGTGTGAACCTGTCCGTTGCAACAGAGGTTGTGGGTTCGATTCTCACCGCTGGACACCACACACAAATCTAGAGTGATGAACTATTTTCTCTAGTGCCCGGTGTTTAAAGGTAATAAGTTTTTTTCTATTCATCCAGTAATTTCCTCAAGAACTTTTACAGACTTCTGCGTTTCGTTTATTAAGGTAACAGAGTTCCAACCTTTTTCAGTCTGTCTGCCTTTTTGTCTTGTCTTCACTTATAAACTTTTTATATTTCTATCTAGGTGAGAGCAGACCCCAGACTCACGGATATTGACAACTCACCAACCAGGGTCGCAGACTTTTCAACCATTTGTTTATTTGCTTTTAACATGGTGTTCCAAATGAGTACTGAACCATGTCAAGATAAATTGCTCGAGTGGGCCCCGGCCACCTGACTCACCAGACTAAACGTAAAATTCTAACCCATTGAACCATTGCCTATTTGCCCCCTATTTCTTATTTAACAGGGTACCTTGTTGCAGAGCTGGCACCGGAACTTGATCTTCTTGAGGTGCTCCCAGTCGATGTGGTCCCTCAGGCGGGTCTTGTTCACGAACTTCTTCCCGCACTCGTCGCACGTGAACCTGCCGACGGAAGGTTCGCCTTGGTCAATTGGCCCATGGGATGTGGCGTTGCCCTGACATGTATGATAGCGTTACCCTGTGTTGTAAGGACCCAAGTCCCTAAGGGCGGAGGCCTATGTTCAGCGGTGGGCTGGAACAGGTTCCGACGACCGATAAGAGCTTAAAGGCTATATCGCTAGGGGAGCTATATTGAATCAAAAAACTTTGCCTTCGATGGGTGTGTGTGTTGGTGTGAGGATTGTGTGTAATTGTATCATTTAAAAAAGGCAGTGACGGTGCATCCCTGGAGCAGCGGGTGTGGACGGGTGTGAGCGGGTGCAGGTGGGTGTGAGCGGGTGTGGGCGGGTGTAGGTGGATGTGAGCGGGTATGGGCGGGTGTCTGTGGGTGTGGGCGGGTGTGGGCGGGGTGTGGGCGGGTGTGGGCGGGTGTAGGTGGATGTGAGCGGGTATGGGCGGGTGTCTGTGGGTGTGGGCGGGTGTGAGCGGGTGTGGGCGGGTGTGTGGGCGGGTGTGGGCGGGTCGTGGGCGGGTGTGGGCGGGTGCGTCGCTCACCCGAAGTCGGCCTCGGGCACGTGGCGCCTGGAGACGCGCAGGTGCTGGCGGAAGGTGGCCACCGACGCGAACAGCTTCCCGCACGGCGAGCACCGAAGCTCCCCAGAGTCGCGCGCCTTATCGCGAATGCGTTTTGATTTTATAACATTGTCCCGTGTTGTGAGGACGTTTTACAAACATAAATTGCACGCGTACAAACACCCAGATGCGAAACAACTATCTGCGGGTCGCACGAATGGTTGTCCCGTGTGGGAATCGAACCCGCGACCGCCGACGCCGAAGCCGATACCTTGGCGACTGCGTTCTTGTCTTTTACTGAATGCATATAGATTTATACACGGTACATAATACAAAATGATTTTTTTTTACAATTGATTCGATATCAAATAAGGTTTATTTTTTCTTTAAGCAAAACAATGTTTTAACAAAATATTAACAGCTATGTAAGTATACACAAGTCTTCTTCACCAAGGAAACTATATATCCGAACTTATTTAAAGTGTCTTCAAGTGACTCCGATTGATTGCATTAGAACACTGACCTTGTGACTCCTCATATGCCTTCCAAGGTTCGACTTCCACTGGTAGACCTTTCCGCACCTGGGACATGGGTAGCGGTTCTGGCCTTTGTGCAGAACACTGCGACAGACATAAAAACATAAACCGTAACGCGTCAAATAACACGAATGAAGCGAAATATATTATAATATACAAAATATATAATAATGGCAATAGATCACTCGATGGGTCATTCGCTAAGCCAGTGGGTTCGATTCCCACACGGGACAAATATTTGTGTGACCAAGAGAAAATTACTAAAAAAAACCATATGTTCATTGCACTATAATGTTTCAATAGAAAAATTTTAATGCGGCAAAAGAGCTGGCAGTTCACCTGATGTTAAGACAACCGTCACCCATGGACATTTGCTACACCCTTAGGCTTGCAAATACGTCGCCACCTTAAAATAAAGTGGGCCCGGCCACCTCAAGACGGAACGTACATAACACTTCTACTTTACGCCGGTCTTATGTGAGGTTGTACTTACCCAGACGGACCTGCCCATTCGTGCGACAACAAACGCTGTTGTGTGGTTCTATCACAGTTAAAAATCTGAGTCGAGGAGCTTACTTAAGATGGTATCTATAAGTCTTCTTAGAGCTGAACATCTTCCCACACTCCACACACTGCGGCCGCTCCCCGACTCCGCTCGCCTGTAAATAAAAAACAATAGCCCTCATAGATCCGAACCATCTGAGTACCACAGATATAAATTATGTCTAGATATTGGATAATTATAAAAGCTGTATATTTTGCTCATATAAAAGAAGTTACCGACCAGAAGATAACAAAATACATCAAAGATAATTAAAAGTTATATCAAATGAACCACAGTTCTATGAAACAATGAAGTTCAATGAAATCAAACAGTAAATAATTTCGCTCTTTGCCTTTTTTTTTGCTATAACACTGAATGGGAACAAATGGGAAATTTAATTGCTCTTTCGAAGATTTCACATATGTAAATACCAATGCAGCATGTAAAACTGATTTACTTGCGGGACCTTAACAAAGAATAATGTACTTTTTTAAAGTAATCAAAATGCAGAATGTGGAATTCGAATAAGCCACAAAGAAATGAACAAATAAGTATTATTAAAATGTGTAAAATTTGCATAAATAAGTCAAACCAATATGACTTCAGCCTGATTGAGATTTTAAGGACTTTGATAGGATTAAAGTGAAATGAGCCTCGGCTGAAAGCTAGTAATAAATTACCAGCAAAACTATCAGAACTTACCACAGGTTTCTTCGCTTCTACAGTATTAACTATTCTAGGTTCTAATTCGATTTCCGTATCACAGTCGTCCGTCGCGATCTTCTCTTCTCGCAGCTTCTCTTCCTCCTTCTTTACATCTTCTTCTTCTTTCTCAGCGCACTCGTCCAACCAGGGCTCCGAGTCGCTGATGTCCTTCGCTTTCAACTTGGCGGGTTTCTTTTTCTTGACCTTCTTCTTTATCCTCTTTCTGCTTGTCTGGAAATGGATTACTATCGTTGGAGTTCAGAGTTTATGGGAAGCTTCGATATGAAAGTTAATTTCAAGTGTTAAGTGATAACTGCCGCTCATTGACATTTGGTTGGACCTTAAAAGGTTGCAGATGCTATTTAACTGCGGTTGGATTGGACCACGCAACAGCATCGGCTGTTGCACGAACGGCAGGTCCGTCTTCAACGACTCTTTGGGTGTTGCATATGTCTATGGGCAGCCGGTTATCACTTAACATCAGGTGAACCGCCAGCTCGTGCCACTTTCTCACATAAAAAGATCCCTGTATGTTTTCGAAATAATAACAAACATAAAATAATTCGAAGATATGTGAAGTCCTCCAATCGGTGAAGTCGGGCCACTTAATGGACTATGCCCTAATACTGTCTATACGGAGGAGGCCTTTGCCCAGCAGTGGGCCATGTATAGGCTGTTAATTTACTTACCTTTTTAACAGTCCCTTTCTTCTTCGCCTCCGGATGTCCAAGGGTCAGGTCCCTCACGAATGTCTCAGGCTCGCAGTGCTGTTCAGCCTCGCTGTCCACCGTCTCGCTTTTGACGTTCTCCGGGACGAGCTCGTCGCCCGACTCACACTTGACCGGGACCTCCGGGTAGCTTATGTTTACTACGTGCTGTATTCCCAGATTCGAATCCTCGCTGGAGAGTTTTGTGGCACCATTCTGTGAATGTTAGGATTGAACGGTGAACTTACTAATGCCCAGTTCCTATATTCAACGAACGGCCGCTTTCATAGCTTCGTAACTTTCATAACGATTTGTAGATTAAAGGAACGCTTGTAACTAACTTTCTGCTCGTAAGAAAAATGCCTCGTTTTGTTAATAAAGGAACCGGGCGTACACAGCTCTTATCTAAGTCGTTGAATATAGGAACTGGTCATAATTCAATACTGATTCCGGTAAGCTAATACAAATCTACTTCATCAGTATGTAAAGCGGACATGTTTACAAGCAAGCCATTCATCTGATGTGGGAACACCAGGTGGGTTGGAGATGACTTACCAAACGTAAAAAAACCGGGGTCCGGTTGCCTCACTCACAAGACAGAATGCGAAAGCGTAATACAAACCTCACATTAGTCTTCTGTCAGTTCGTGGTTCTTCCCTGGCAGTACCACAGGTTTTGAGGAGTTTATCTCCGAGGAGAAAGGTCCAATACCAATGAAATTAATATGGGACTACATGACAGATAAACAGAACCCAGAGCAATAAGAATTTTTAAATACAGCTGATGGAGTTTTGAACAAACAAAAAAAAACAAAAAAAAAATAGGGAATATGATAAACAATGGGCACATGTCACTGGACCAACTGCCTTGCAAGACAATCTATAAATACTTAACCAAATTCTTAATGTTCATAAAAACACATTGTTGATAAATCATCTTAGATTCTCTGAATCAGCAGCAGAGACATTGTTACAGTAGGATACCACATACTGTAGGATAACATTATCCTGTATTGTAAAGATGTTTTACACATATAAATTTCACGTGAACCAAAACCGAGACCCAAAAGAATTACCTATGGGTCACACAAAAAGTTGTGCCTTGTGGGAATCAAACCCACTACTACCCCTGCCAAAGGCAATACGTTGGCGAGAAACTGAAAACTATTTAGTGCAGCCTGCACTAACATCAACCAAATCGGCACCAGCGACACCATTGAAATTTCACCAAAAAATCAGTATAAAAACTTTACCTGCAGACGCCCCATCAGCTGCGCGTAGCAGCGCTGTGCTCTCGCTTTAAAACGCTGGAAACGGCACATCACCGCCCTGCACTCCCAGCAAATCCTCGCACACCCCACTGTCTCGGCACCATCACTGACAACCTTATTATATACACACATTATCACTATCCATTTGTAACATATCAATAATAGTCTTGGAACTAGCAAAGACCAAAAAGTTTTTAGTTATGGCAGATGGTACCAATATATATTTTTATGTAAAATTCGACGACTCATGACACCTTGCCTTGAATTTTGAATTTCATGATGTCAATAGTGTATGTAATTGCAAAAACAAACTTTTTTCTAGCAAGGAACTCTTCAAAAACCTTGAGGATGTAATTTGCAGTTAAATTTAATGGTACAACAAGCACAAAATAGAATAAAATGTCTAAATAGGCAGTAAATTCCTAAAAAATGCTCCAGTAAAAGAGCATTGCTTCAACTCACCTCAACTTCATTTAAAATTTGATAATACAATGTGTAACAGCCAGTCTCCCCAATAAAGAATAGATTCCTGCCAACGCACAGACAAGCTGTGCATAGATCTTCCATGTTTCATTATCATTCATATATTTACAGATATGTCATCGGTACCAGACAACTTTGTAACTAAAAAGGAAAAAAAAAGTTGTGGAAAGGAAATTGAAGAATTTTACTCAGTGAATTGGAAGTATAATACTATCTTGTTAGTAAGGTAACCAGAGCCCACTTTTATTAAGGGCGAGCACATCTCGAAGCCCTAAAGTGTTCATGTTGTTCTGGGTGGTTGTTATCACTTAACATCACGTGAACCACTTGCTCGCTTGACAACTTTTCACATAGGAAAAATCGTCAATTTAGTTTTTTTTTTATTTGCAACTAATAACAATGAAAAGACGATAGAAAGTGATTAGCAGCACCCATGGATATTAGTAACACTGTTGACTTTGAGTCTCAAAATATGTTAATTTGGAAAAAAGATTGTTACCTCACTTACAACACACAATAATTTAAATTATAGTGAATTTATGCAGATCTGATGTGAATCGGAATAGTTACACGTGAAAAGCAGTGCATAATATACTTTCAATTTCAATTAAAATGTCATCAACATAATTTCACAAGCGTACTTAAATAAAATTAATATAAAATTCCAACATGTCCAGACATTATAATGAAATTATCATTGCCTTTATTTAAAACACTATCCAAAATATATAACAACTGTACAAAATGATAGAAACAAACCATTTTTCTTCGAAACCCCATAAATATCCTGAACTTATATAGCTTTAACTTAAAAGTTATTGTAATAGGTGGTTACTTTGAACTATAACCGTGCTTGATACATTTTGTTTCCGAAATTGTTTATTTTGCTGTTCAAAATCAACACAAAATCCAAAAGCGTCTCTAAATGACAGTTCAGTATGGTAAGCTTTTTTTTTTTATTATTTTAACGGCCCTGGAATCGAGTCCTTTAGGCCTATCTTACATATGCTTAAAAACTACTTTAACAAGTTACTTATACCTATTGTATTTACAATTAATTTATATATAAACTTATAATATTTTGGATTTCTCAGAAGTTCTGGCAAATCATATAATACCTGTGTATTTATATTTTCTAGTTCTTCTTCTTCTTCTTCTTTGATTAATGGGATATTTTCTAGTTCAGACACCAAGATTAATCGCTGAAAATTATAATTTTGACATTTCATGAAAATATGGTTTAGGTCAGCAACATCATTACAAAAAGTACATTAGTTAGCGACAATTTTGAGTCTTGTTAAATGCGCAGGAATTCTACAGTGGCCGAATCTTAAGCGATTGATTGTTGTTATGAAGTTTCTGTTTAAAGCGCCCTTGTGACTATTATACCAGGGTCTTGACGGCGGGGAGTTCTGAATTTTGGCATACCACTTTCCTTTTTTCTCGCTTACAATCTTCCAATATTGGAGCCATAACTTTTTGAGCTTTTCATTTAACATCTGATAGAGATAACATAGATAGTCAGTAAAAGGAACTTTTAACAAGGAAGAGTGGTTCTCGTCATACTCTCCTCTAGCCGCCCTATCTACTATCTCATTCCCGGAAATTCCACAATGGTAGATTATACATATAATCCAGGAATTCAGTCTGATTATTTAGTTTTTGGATGTCTATGTTTATATTAGTAATTAAGCACTTAAAATTTACTTTGTACAATGGTAAAAGTAAGCTTTAAAAGGCAGTGTTACCAATTCTCAAAAATATTTGTCCCTAAAACTTAAGTAAAAATTTTTTTAAATAATAAATATCGCAGAGTTTTGCCTTATTTCCCACATGGATGGAATAATACAGTGAAGGATATTGCAGAAAAATGTTGATTTTTATAAAAAGTGTTTTAACAAATATTGTAGGAAATTTAATTTCATAAAAAATGTCGTCTCTTATAATTTCATTAGACGACCAATATTTTTACCGTAATGCCAAAAATGTGATTCAAAATCAAAAATATTACATAAAAATTAATACGTTCGTAAGTTACCAAAGATAGACAAATTCATAATGAATGATATAAATTTTTAATTACTTTTGGCGCTTTCTTTAAAGCCATAATACATTGGTCAAAGACAGTGGCAAGTAGTGAATACAAGAACAGTGGCCAGTGGTGGTCACTGGACAAGTAGCCGGTTACACTACAGCACTTACATAGAGTGGCATTTCTCGGTCGAAGTGGACGAGCAATACATACAATTTTGTAGCCTGTTGCCAGCTACTGTACTAATTTGATTCTATAAACTACAGCAAGTGACGAGTCAAGTGCATGAAGGGTGCATTTGCACCAAAAAATATAAATCGATTCCATTCGGATCTAGTTACAAGGCAGCTTGCAAGCTATGTGCTAAGTGTAATGTAAAGTACTTGTCTACTTAACATAACACTTGACCAGAGTAAAATCGGCTTTAAATTTGTCCTACGTTACCGCTATTACATGCACATTCTTACTAATGAAACACCGTACTCAATGTCAATGTCACTAGATCAAAAGATTGCGTTACTCGGGTTCTTTTATTTTAATGCCTTTATTTCATCAAAGAAAATAACAAATAAAATGTAGGAAAATATAAGAATCAAAAAATATAACGCACTTAAAAATCCCAACGCGTTGGCTTACCCCCTAAATTAAGGGGAATGCCCCTAAATTGGCAACCCTGTTTAAAATTTAACGCACAAACAAAGCGAAACTCACAGATTAAAAAACCAGCCAAGTGCGAGTCGAACTTGCGCACGAATGAACAAAATGAATAAAATCATGTCAGTTTCTAATTTAATCTAAACTCCAAGAAAGTAGACACGCAGTCAACGTTCATATCTAATACTCGAGAGTATTGACTGTGATAATTTCTACTGTCTATCACGGTTCATGAAATACAGCTTGGTGGCGGACAGACAGACAGACAGTGGGGTCTTAGTAATTGGGTCTCGTTTTATCCTTTGAGCACTGAACGCTAAAAAGAGATTGCCATAGATCTGTGCGTTCGGGTACAAATTTTCTCGTAAATTATTGATTCTCGTAATTTAATTTTATGAACCGAAGGTTCGACACATTAATTAATTATTCTTTCGTCAACACAGGTCGCAAAGGAGTATATCGTACACTAGGTACATATTTTCTCCTGGTTTAAATTACCACGGACGTCTTCCAACGAAGCTGTCAAAGCCGTTAGGTTAACAAAATTACGCTTACACAAAAAAGATATAGGTCAGCACCTCGTTTTGTACCGCTAGTGGACCTTTAACTAAAATTTCTTTAGCATCCATAGTCTTCTTCTTTTCTTTTTTGGCGGTTTTCAATGAATACGCCAATGAACACTTCTGGTTGTTTATTTTTGCCTTACTTTTAATGAAATGATGAAGAGGATGATATTATGAATGTTATATATGTATATTTTTATATATAGAATATCTAAACCAATTTACATAATTATAGCAATTACCTAGAACAAAGAAAATAAGATTGTAGTTATTATGCTAAGTTCACAACTTAATATTACAACTATTAATAAAATTACATAAGATATAAACAAATGAACAATTTACATATGTTAAAAGGTTATTGATGTTAGATGCACGAAGGATGTTAGAAGGAAGATGATCATGGAAGGAACCTGGAATTCTGGGACAGTTGAAAAATATATGATCAGGTGAATCATCATCTAGGCCACATTCACAGATGGAACTATCTTTTATTCTTAATTTGGCAAGATGAACATTAGTGCAGACATGCCCTAGTGTAAGTCTGCAGACAATAGAGGTGGCATGCTTATTGGCTTAAGGAAAATTAAAGAACCATGGTTTGGTTGGAATATCAGGTTGGATTGATGCATAGTGTTTCCCTCTCTCTCTACTAGATTTCTTCCAGAGCTCATACCAAACACAGTTTGATCTGATTTTATCATATGATAATAAATCATGAGGGAAACAAGTCCGTCCACATCCATAGTCTTCCGTTTGACATTTTCCACTTAAAATGACATACTGACAACTAGAAAGACAACTTTTGGTCGGCAGATCTTTATTATAATACAGTTGCCGTAGAGTCGTTCCATATATCTGTTAAACCACATAAAAGTTAAAAAGTATTTAGGAATATACAGGAAGATTTTTTTGAGAAGTGCCCAAATTTACACAGGAGGTTCAGACTCGGTAGTATAATCGTTTATTGAAATAAAATTTCTAAAAAAAAATGCCATTCTATTCCCTAAAAAACAGAACGTGTTGACAATGCGGTAGTCATTCATTAATACCTAAATTTTACTGTGCACGAACTTGTGTGCGTGTTAGTTATGAATGATCGCGCGTAAAATAAATGAGTTGCGTATAAATCACGCACTTTTTGAGATAAGTTCAAATAAATGTAATTAATTAATTAAAGAGTGACTTTAAATATTTATCATTTTTATATAACATTATTCATGTCTAGAATTTAATAAAAAATGGATACACTTAGAAAAGCCACCCTGTATAAGAATTGACCATTGCTTTTTAAAAAACGACGCGACATATCTTGTGGTTACTACAACTGATGAAGCATGGACAAGGATTATTATTTTGTTAGTTGATGAACAAAATACTACCACAAAAGACAGTTCTAAGTAAGTTCATAATAAAATAAATGTTTGCACATACTATGTCTAAAATCTTTATAATATACATTTACATATTATTCTGCAACGCATTTGTAAGCTCTCGGGTGTGGCAGGTGTGTGGCACTTACCATCAGGTGAGTCTCCTGCTCGTTTGCCCTCTTTTAAAAAAAAATACATGTACTCTTATCTCTTGTTGATTAAACATAAAAGCAACTATTGAAAAATGGTTAATTGAAGATTTTAGTAAAACGCAGTGACGTTGTATAGAAACTTATAATAAATATATTAGCGGTTCTCTAAGAAACTATCTTTATTTCCTTATTTGGTTCACTTATGTTCTTCTCATCTTTGTTCTTTTTCTGTTTTTTCTTCTTTTTCTTATTTGGATTTCTCTGACGGTTCATATCATTGTATTTGAGAAGTTTCTTGTACATTTTTAGCAGTTGCTTAGCATCTTTTTTCATTTCTTTTGTGACTTGCCCTTCTGCCATCTCCTGGTTGGCGTCTTCTTTTTCCTGAAGACCTTCCACTTCGCGTATTGGATCCACGTATTTTGTGGAACCCTCTAATGTATTATAATGTTCAATGGAGCCTTCTTCTAAATTTGTCTGCGGGTTTGCTTCAATAACTTCCGAAGGAACTACCATTGTCTCTCTTTTGGCCTCCTGCATTTTCCTTTTCAGTTCTAAATTCTTCTTCCTCATTGCATTAAAAATATTCGACGTGGATAATACACTTCTGACTTTCTTACTATCCAAATAACGATCTTTCCAGGATACATTCTGTATGTCATCTTCTGCATTCTTCTCGGTTTCTAACCTTTCATGTTCTTTTATTTGTTCTTCCGTAACGACGTCTTCCCTTTCTATTTCGTCTATCTTCGCTGATAGAGCTTCGATTTCTTGTGCCGTTGGCTCTTTCGATAATACCGTATTCCCGCCTTCTTCATTGCAAGAGGAATCAGAAGAGAGTTCTAGGATTTCGTAAACATCATCATCTCCTATTGATATAGTTTCAGCCGTGGGGTTGTTATTCGGCTGGGATGTTACTAAATCTTCTGTGGTAACGATTATTGCATTTGATTCCTTGAAAAAGTTTTGATCACCATCCTTACGAAAATCCGGGAACTTCTTTGATTTCTTCTCCTTTTTCGCTTTTTTCTCCTTCTTTTTATTTTTCTTCTTCTTATGGCCCTTCTTATTCTTTGATTCGTCGTCGGATATGTAAACAACTTCAGGTTTAACGTCAGAAGCTTCTACTTCCGAACTTTCCCGGTCCGATAACTCTCCCTCTGACAAATCTCTATTGGCAACTTTCAATGTATCGGTTGCTTCTGGTTTATTACTTTCACCGCCTATTTCTGCTTCATTGTCCTTTTTTGGAGTTTCATTATCACCTTTCTCTGTAATCGAACAGTTTTGCAAATTCTCCGAAACGTCTGGCAAGTTTGGACTATCATCGCGTATTGGTATGTCCTCCAATGTTGTAACCTCAATAACCTGGTTGTTTGGAATCACAGATGAATTTTCAACAACTTCCGCATGTTCCACATTTTGTTGTTCCTTATTGTCACTTTCTGTTACTTCCTTCGGATCTTCTTGGGTTACGTTTTTATTCTCAACATTTTCAAGTATTTGCATATGTGCTTCAGTTTCCTCTGAATCTTTGCTAACATGTGTATCCTTATTAGTTGAATTAATGGGATCTTTATCTGAATTTCTTTTTGATATTTCGACACTTTTACTAGAAGATTTATCTTTTGTGCTATCCCCATCATCTTCACTGTCTGAACTGCTCTCAGAGTCTTCTGTGCATGAACTAGAAACGTTGTCAAAGTTTTTTCTATCCAAATCCTCTAATAAATCCATTTTCTCTGAATCGGAAAGCTCTAAAGTTATTTCATCGTGATCGCTCCCGTCTTTATTGCTACTTTTCTGTTTTCCTTTTTTCTTCTGCCTCTTCTTCTGTTTCTCTTTTGCTGCGATTTTCGTAGAAGAGTCTGATTTTTTCGCATTAGTATTCTCTGGTGCTTTTTGCGGTTTATTGCTGCTATCGACGATGCTGACTTTTGATTGACTATCATCCTCTTTTTCTTTGCCGGCAGCATTAATATTTGATGGCGCTAGAATATTTTTGTTACTTTTAATATTGCTATCACTGGGGTTTTGGACTAAAGCTTTGTTACGGTTGAGTTTGATTTTACGCGTTGGTTTTGTTTGCGGCACAGTGATTATTAGGTCGTTAATCCTTTTTGTCACTGTTTGGGTTTCTTGGTTTGATGGCTCGGTCGTGTTGTTTGATGTTTGTTCTATTTCTGGAAATATATGTTATGATAAAATATGAATACAAAAATTAAATTAAAACCATTTACCATTTACCTATTTATAACAGAATGTGTAAGTTGTTATCAAGACCCAAGTGATAGCATTGTGTCCAAAGGCTGAAAAGCCGTGTCGGCATCAATAAAATTATTAACTTTATCTTACTTATCACGTACTCATCGGTGAAGGAATACATCGTGAGGAAACCTGCATATTATCGAAATCTAAATAGGGAAGCCACATTTTGCGTTTGATTCCACTGCTTAGTATCCACCACAAACTACCACAAAGCACAATACTGAGCCAACTATATCCATCCAGTTCCCAAACATTTGTTCCTGTCGTCATTCCCATTTGGGCAGGGTTGTATTTGCGTTTTGTATGGAATGGCCTGAGTCCCGATCAAGTATGTATCCCGTGCTGTAAGGACGTTTTATATACATTTGAAGTGAACAAACACCCAGATCCGTATCAATAATCCGTTGGCCACACAAATATATAGATAGAACCTACGACCCGACGATGAATATTGTGGCAACTGCGCCACGGAGTCATTTACTGTGGAGGGTTTGTTCTACATTCCGATGGCCAATATGCGGCGGCCACTCGAGAATATTTTTTCGCCATTGATTAGCTCTACGAGATACGTGTATGGCCCATTGCCACTTCAGCTCACTAGTCTTCCGAACTATGTTTTTAGCATGTTTGCACTATTTAAATCTGGATTACCTAATCTCGCGTTAAACCGGTGTATGTACAGACTAGCTTCTGACCCATTGGGGGCCCTTCATCTAAACTAGTCGGTACATACACCGGTTTAACGTGAGTTTAGCCGTCTTATTATTACGTAAATAATGTCTCAAAAATGTTTTAATAATTTTGTCTGGATTACCTTTTTGTAATTCCTCCAATTTCGGCTTCTCATCCTCGCTGCTTATCTCTACCACTTCGGCTGGTTCTTCCTTGATTTCCACCTCGTCATCTGAGACATGTGGTGCCCCAGTTAGGTCAGTTACGTCCGCTGTAAGATAAAAAAAAAATGTATTATTACTAAGGGAATGTGCCACTTTAAAGACAAAAGTACTGTCTTAATTTAGACTAAAGATTAACAAGATTTTTTTCATAGAAAGGTGACATTGAGTTGCAGATGCACCAGAAGATGCTGCAAAACGAGAGATATTATCACATTTTTAAAACACAGGTTTACAACATTTCAGCACCAAAATTAAAGAGGGTAGCTTTTAAAAGGATACTCCTCCTAACAGTGTGTCATCACTAGGCTAGGCGAAAGTATAAACGCTTCTGCTTTATGACGGTCATAGTTGAGGCATTGAGGAGGTATTATCCATGTCTAGCCATTCTGTTCACGCTCCAGTGAAAGTAACAGACTATACATATGTTGTTATTAGGGCATAGTTGTTCACGCAGATTGGCAAAATGTTTTGTAATTCACATATCTTCAAAATATTTACTTACTACTACTTAGTTATAATTTCAAAAATTTGCAGGTTTCTTCACCCCTGAGCATGTGATAAGTCAGAACCTAAAATTAACAATTTCATTGGTGCCTGCAGCGGGCATCAAACTGAGGTTGCTCGAGTATAATAAATTAAAGGCGCTCGCCTTCGCCCGGACATTGAGCTCTTAGCTACGCTCCAGTAGAGGTTTTAACGGTAGTACATGATCTCACCAGTAGCCTGCTCCTGCTGCAGCTGTGCCCTGATCGCCCTCGCCCTCGCTTGCAGCTCAAGGAGCTCCAGCACGGTGAGTCCAGCACGGGAAGCCTTTGAGCGATCCTCGCCATTTTCGGACTTGTCAGACGATGATTTGCGTTTGTGCTTCGACTTGGACTTGGAAGCGTGACGGCGGTGCTTATGCTGGAAATAGAAAAACGGCCAACATAAGTATATTCAGCTGTCAGGTAATTCCATTATTAAATGAGTGTCTAAAATATGCAGGTTGTCTCGAGTTTCTTGCAAGAGTCTTTATTCTAATAGAAAGCAGAAAGACAGAAGGAAACGTTAGATTCCCACAGCAGCGACAATCTTTTCATACTTTTTCTAGAATAATGTTTAATCTTAAGTGCAGAGATTAGCACTATAAAGAAAAAATTTTTCAAGAAAGAAGGAATTTTAATTAAAGCCTTTAGAATGATGTTGGTAAAATTTAAGATGTGTTCACAATTTTTTGTGCCTCATGTTAAAAGTGTAAACACAAAAATGATGAAATTAATTTACTTACCTTCTTTTTTTTATTGCTCCCCTCGCTTAAAATCTCTTCATCAGATGATATACTATCTAGGGATATAGTTTCCAACTTTTCAGGTGATGATGATGTGCTGGATGATTCTGTGTCAGAAGGCGGCTCAGCCCCATCAAGTATGGCGCAAAGTCTTTTGGAACTTATACCTAAAAGCTGCAACAAAAAATTATGATTTATTTTCTTTTGTCAAAATCAAAATTTCTTTTTCTTTTAATGGCAATTATTATATTATTATAATGTTTGTGACTTTATAAATATTTTAGGACACATTTTTTACACAACATTGTCTAGTCCCAAACTAAGCAAAGCTTGTGTGTACTATGGGTACTAGAAAACTGATAAACATACTTAAACATACTTTTCTTTTGTAAATAAATACATATTATACATATATAAACACCCAGTCACTAGAAAAACACTATGTTCATCACACAATATTTTTCCAGTAGTGGGGATCAAACCGGGCGCAGGAGGCAGGTACACTACCCACTACGCCATTCGTGTCGTCAAAATTATAATTAGGAGTGTTTAAGTTAAAAAATCGAAAAGCTTTATTATTGTGAAAATGTAATTTATAATTTGTTATGCAGTTAATGCTTTATGGATTGAATTGCTAGTTAACCGCAGACCATTGACCACAAATGTTTATTCATATATATTTTCAATCATTGAACAATACTTATAGTTTTACATATGTTCAGATATTTTAATGTTGCTACCATTCGTACAAGTTAAATGATGAGACGATATTATAAATTAAAACGGGTTCACAGAATGTTTAAAGAAACACAAAGGTTTTATAATAATAATAATAATAACCCAATCAGACGAGAAATCAAATGAATATCCCCCAATAATAATAATAATCTTTATTTCAGACAATACACTAAATTAAGTATATTGTCCATAGTTTGTTAGTATTAGTAAATAACATTGTGACTTAAATCTAATTAATCTTTATTACCTCCTCCATGCACAATTCTTGAAGATCACTTATCGAAATATATTGCACACATTGAGGTGCCATTGCTTTTAATTCTTTAGGCTTTAACACAGAAAAAACTTGGTGCATTAGCTCAACTCGGTCGTGAATATGATAAGTCAAATCGCCGTCTACATTATCACGCACAGAGGAAGAGGCTGCAGGCTGTTCCTGTTTTACTTTATGTTTCTTTACACGTCTCATTTTAATTTTTATTTAAAATAATTACTACAGGATTATGTTTTCTAAACACCTTTATAAGACAACTAACTTAAAAATCTAATTTCTATTATAACAGTAAGGAAAGTGGTAACATTCTAATTTAGTCGGATTATACATCGATTTTATTACGTTGACATTTCAAGAATGTGTTCGGAAAGTAAGTTCTTGACCAAACAATACAATAATTTAATTTAATTAATTTTGGAATGAGAATTTCTCTAAATATAAAAAATATGTTATAAAAATGTGACAATGCAATATATACACTTTTTTTATTTTTAACAAGATTGATCAAAACATAATGGAATATGTTATATAGTTTATTATCGGATATTGGAAAAGATATGATTTCTGAACTGTTGTTATGAATTTATGATAGCACTTAGCAGGTTGCGCTTTAAGGTTTTTCAAGTTCAAGTTATACTAATTCTGTCTGTCCAAAATGTGATATTTCATTAATTCATCATTTTTTGTTCATTGCAAAAATGTATATTCATAAATTATTTTATCAGTTATCTATCATTATATTAAAATGTAAACAAAATATTTAAATACCCGCGCGTATAAAATGGCGGTGGAAAAACTGTATCAAAGCGAACAATTCCTGGTTGTGAATAAACCTTACGACATGTATATTAATTCTGATGATGAAAATGAAAAGGTAATTATGTACATTACACCATATACGCAAATCAAAAAACTAAAAATTAGGTTATGTTCTCTTACCTTTTTAATTTACCATGCTTAGACATCGAGCCTTTTGCACCGCACATTTTATATAAGTGGACCATTAACAAGTGTAAAAAAATAATTATGAATACAAAGCGTATTAAAAACAGAACTTCAATAAAATTTTCAATAAAAATACAGTTATGCAAAAATTGACTTCCAGAATACGGTCGCCTGTCACATCGCTTCTTATGATTCACATAGAGCAAACTCAGCAAATCCACTTTATTTCGTTCAACGCCTCGACTTTTCGACTAGTGGAATTCTTTGCATAGCTTTAAATAAAACCGCCGCAGCCTGCGCTGGTAAACTGTTCGAGAAAAGGCTCACGAAGAAATATTACTTCGCAGTCGTCAGAGAACACTTGAATTTCGACGCATGTGATGTACAATATCCAGTTGGTAAGTATAATAGCAAACGAAAAATTTTATACAGAAAAAAAGCCATTCTATTAAGTATTTTTATGCGTATTTTCGAAAGCTTTCTCCTTAATTTTTGAATACATTGTAGTACGTATCTCCAAATATAAAAAAATATCTAATGGATGCAAGTTTTGTCTGTGGAACGCAGCAGCATTAGCTATTGCACGAATTGACAAGAGCACTACAATGGCCCCGCAGGAGATCCCTTGCCCCTTTCAAGATTTGCCCCTTCTTTTGAAATTCTACCTCAAGAGGTAATCGTGGTCCTAATTTTCAACGTTGGCAGTGCATCTCCAACCCTTCAGGTGTTGTTGATGTCGTTGACTGGTGGCAATCACTTAACATCAGGTGAACCACCTGCTCGCTTGCCGACCTATGACATAAAATAATGGTGACTTAGGACGTAGTTTCCCAACTAACTCTCTCAGTGTGGAGTGGGATTTTGGATTGCCTATGAGACGCACCTGTGGATATCTGCACTAAGCCCATCCACAAAATGCTCACAGAGTTTCAACAACCCAGCAAACTCCGTGTTTTAGTCCCCCGGGATTTATAGAATGATTGACCCCTACTCTGAATTTCCGTAAATGACAAAGTCGCCTACACTGAAAGTCGCTTTGAAATTAACAAAAAGCACTTATAAACATGAAAATCTACCTCCTTTAACAAATTACTATTATATCTATCCAATTATACTACATCGTTTCCATTTTCAAGTATAAATCATGAGACGGGTGAAACGGCTCTATATAACGTTACGCAGATGTATCAGAGCTTAATCAAATTAAAATTCAAAATATCTTTATTAAAATAGACGCTTGCACTTTCTTATGAAACGACGAATTTTACATTAAAACTAATACGTAAGTTCGTAAGTAAGTTACCACTGGTTCGGAGAGCGGTTTCTGTTGAGAAGAGACCGGTAGGAAACTCAACAGTTTCTCTTTTTTAAAAAGATCAGTTAACAATGTAATATGGTACAGGTATAATAGTCCTACGTGAGTATGAACAATATTAATTCCACACATTCGCGTCGTCGAGATATTCCGCAATGGTATAATATGCTTTAACCATAAGTTTACTTTTAATTTTACGTTTAAATTGATCAAGTGGCAGACTTAATGTCGACTGTGGGATTTTATTATTTATAATCACATTCAGGTGTCGATAAAACATCATCGGAGAGCAGTCACAAGATGATTGCGTTGCGAGAGGACACACGGGCGGTGTGCGGCGCGCCGAGGTCGGCGCACACCCGCTTGTTAGTGCTGGAGCTCGGTTATTACGATGACAGGCCTGTCACCGTAGTGCTATTGAAACCAGTTACAGGTGAAGTCTCATCTGGTGGAATATTTCTCGCATTTTCGCATGGAATGTGATAAAATAAATATTTAACCACATAAATAAATCCACCGTTCAGGCCGCCGCCACCAGCTGAGGGTCCACTGTTCAACCATTGGCCACAGGATACTCGGTGATTACACATACAGTGACAGACAGGACACCATACCTCACAGGATGTTCTTACACGCCATTAGGTGAACTTATCTCATACTTATCAAATCTATTGCTACTTCTTCGCTGCTCTGCACCTGTGTAATTTTCTATAAACTTTTTATTTTCAAGTAGAACATTTTGAAGTTACACTTATTTATAATTATGAGTGTAAAATTTTACGATGCGCTCGCACAACGAACGTCAAAAAGCGACATGGTGCTTGGTACCAAATTTTGTCTTGGCAACCAGTAACAAAATTTTGACATTTTATTTATTTTTTTCTACAGTTCCAAGTTATCATGAATTGCATTTAATGTATTTACGCTAGAAAAGTATAAATCCGTACATAAAGTAATTATGCGTACATACTTATGTAGTATGCATATGTATGTAGTAGTACGCACTAGCGTACTCAATGTATACACACAATGTATAATATTCACACGTTTTTACGGATTATATATTATATTTTATCTTGTTTTACTTTTGATTTTAAAATCCAGGTGTTAGTCAGTGTAAAATACGACAAAATCTATGAAGCAGTTTTATTTAAAAATATATTTTTGATAAATTGCACAGTTGCAAACTCAGTTCAGTTTCTGCATTGGCTTATTTAGTTTGTAAATGGTGGATGAGTCTACGATGCAGTTGCTAAGCTATTGACGGCACAGAATAATTATTTGTGTGGCCCACAGACAATTGTTTCGGATCCGCGTATTTGTTTCCAAGGAGGTTTGACATCAAATAGGTTTGTAAAAAATCTAACCAAAAACACTTACAGCATTATTCACATGTTGTTTCAAACCCAACAATATGTTATTAGCGCAAGGAGGATGATGGATTTGTAAATGGTAATAGACATATGTTTGATACATGATAATCGCGAGCGGTAAAAAAATTACATTTGTTTATCGTAAATAGGGGAACAAACTTGTCTGTTCTTTCCTAATTAAATTGTATTAAATGGCCGAATTTAATTTATCCACATGCGCCTATCGGCTTAGAGCTGTCTCCCATCATCATCTTGCTGCCCTTATCTCATCAAAGAGCGGAACTAAATGCGAGCGAAAATGTTATGCTGTACGGAGAGTACAGCATAACATTTGAATCAAGTTGTAAGTAGTTTTGGCTTGATTTTTCACGACCCGTCGCCGACCTGACGTTAACACTCCTTGGAAATAAAGAGTCAGATCCGAAGCAATTATCTGTGCGTAACGCAAATACTTATCCCGTGTAAACAGTCGAACTTGCGTCACTGAGCGATTATTTATCTGTGACTTATGTAGTTTATTTAAGCGAATCGTAAAATGCTTTCCAACAGATTAGTTCTGCCGCTGCCTGAAGGGCCATTGGATATCCAAACGGCGGAGCCATTCTTCTCCGACGAACGGTTCAGCTCTGAATGGAGACCGCATTCAGCTAAATACGAGTGTCGCAGCAAAGAGGATTTCATTGCGGCATGCGACGCCATAGACAAAGTTGCCATTTGCAAAGTGTTCATTTGAAAGCGTAAAGATCGTGTAAACTTATCAACATATTGTTTAAATGAAATTATTTTGCGGATTTTTTTGTTTTATTTTATTTATATGTTTTTAAGTTTTTGTGGTAGTGTCACGCAGCAGCTTCGGTTTGTTGCACGAATGGGCAGGCACGTCCGGGGATGTACCTCGGCTTCGCAGAAGACCACCTTGAAGTGGAAATATCCGTCGCATTTCACTTTTTCAACGTTGGCAAACCGTCTGCAACCCTTCATGTATTTTAGAAAGCCATGGGCGGCGGAAGTCACATAACATCAAGTGAACCGCCTGCTCGTTTGCCAACTTTTACCATAAAGTTTAACAAAGACGGTATAACCATAAAGTCCTTCACAACCGTTTAGTTGAGGACGCATGAAGTGTTGATGAGAACAATTGTGCAAGCTCGGGTCACCGCCACACAGAAGACTGGCGTGATGTGGAAGTAATGTTGGTGGTATGGTAATCAGGCACCGCTTTTTTTCATGGTTGGCAATGCAACTACAATCCGTCAGGTCTTGAAGATGTCCATAAACGATGGCAATCGCCTAAAATGAATGGTTATTTGAATACCGCCGCCCATGGACATCTGCTACACCCGAGGGTTACAGATGCGTTGACAACCTTTTGAAAATTGGGCTCCGGCTACCTCACTCACCAGACGAAACGCGAAAGTATTTGTAATACTTCCACTTTGGTCTTCTGTGAGGTCGTGGTACTTACCCGGACGGGCCTGCCCATTTGCGACAGCCGAGGCTGCTGCGTGGCCCTACCACCGTTGATTCAAACGCAAAGTGGACAGAGTACTCTTTAAAGTCTGTTACATGTTGAGTTATTACTATAATGTACGTAGTATACAAAGTACTCTGTGGTAGTACTGTTAACTCTGGCGACACTGCTTCTTATCACTTATGTGTCAGTGTCAGAGTCAGTCAGTGACAGTGTCAGTCAGTGACAGTGTCAGTCAGTGACAGACGACAGCAATTTGGCGTAATGTACTTAAAATACCTACGCTTTACAGAATTATTAATTGTTTATTTACATTGTTATATTAAGGATAATTGAAATGTGTTAACACAGTACTTAAAATAGACATTGTACGGTGATATTGAAAACAGTATATGTGATGCACTGGCGAAAATATAATGGAAAATGATTTTACTTTGCATCCGATCAAAATGGAAATGAGCTTACATACAGAAATGCCGACAAATAAACTAAAGAGTGAGTCCGATCACGACCCATTGGAGGGCGGCAGCTATATCGTAGACGTGACGGTCAAATCAGAGATTAAAGAGGAAGATGACGACGATGGTTACAATACTATGTAAGTGTTTGCAACTCCAGAAAGATGTTTTCGGCGTTATGTTTCATTATAAGTTCAAAAACTTGTTCTAACAAAATCACTAATTCATTTCTAAAACACTAGTATTTTTGCTTAAACAAAGAGTATAAGTAACTTTAAATTGCCAGGTGAATTACCAGTGATTTTGATACAGTATGTCTTTGGCATGTAATTTTTGTCATCTTCCTATTTAGTGTTATGTTCTTGAAAGCGACTGTAATAAGGAAACTACCAATTATTCAAGCTACCATACTTTTATTAAGAGAATTGTGCATAGTGCATGTATGATTATGAATTCTGCTTATCAAATTTGATACTAAGACCTTAATGATAACCTTCTTTGCCTTCTCTTTGTTGACTAGCTTACGTTATAGTATTCTATAGTCATGGAATAACTTAAGTAAATATAATTAAAGCTTAAGTTATACAGAATTTTTTTTATTTCTATAAGAAAAACAATTATCATATTTGAATTTGTGACACAATAATTTCAAATTCATAATCAAAGAAAAGTTAGGATCAGTATAAACTAGCCCGAATAATTTAATAATATGAATCCTGATTATTTACCGGGCCACAATGTGTTTTGTCTGTTCTAGGCAAAATGTGCTTATTTATTATGATGTACCAAGAGGTTATTAATATTACAAAGAGTACACATATACAGATTTTTGATTAATGATATGAAGGAAACCCATTCCTCCGTCTGCTAACTTAATAATCTAGTTTAAAATTACCTTCAAGTTTTATTCCTCTACACTTAATGTCTAGAATGAATAATTAAATATTCTTAATTATAACTTTTGTTATTGCATGAACGTGCACATGCGTGACTTTGCTTATGTGTGGTTGTGGTATCAAGCTCTTGAACACTTAGGTACAGCAGAAAGTAGCTTTTTGCTTGATTAAAATGACTGATATCTTCCAGGGCGCTGCTAGAGCTAGCCCAGTGTGTCCAAACCAACCATGATCCAATCGAGTTCAACACAACGGAGGCCACTGTTAATCCCAAAACGGGTCTAATGGTGTGTCTGCACTGCTTCGAGGATGTGGACAGCAACCTTCTATCAGATCATATGGTCAACGCGCACAACTACAGAAGGATATTGTTTAAATGTCACATCTGTGATCAAACATTCCAGGTAGGCTATATATACAGCGTGTCGCTACTAACGCGACCATAAATCAATACACGTATACATAGAGGATAACTTATTAAAATTTTATTTAACATTTACATTCTTTAAACATAAATATTTACCGACTTATTAAATTTTCCAAAACAAACAATTTTAGAACACCATTACGTATAAAACTGTAGCGTGAAGTTCATTTGTAAAGGTCACAAAGCATATGAATGGGTTGAATGAATTTAAAAGAGAAAATATACTGTTAGAAGGAGAGGCTTGTAATGCGACGCTGTGGCAATGAATGAAAAGATCTCTGAATTTATGAATCAGTCTGTTGTAGTTGTATAGGATGTTACAAATTTTGTTTCTTTTTTATAAACTTAAATCGTATACGTTCCGACGTTTAACATAGCGCCATCTATTGGAAACTTACTCAATCCTGCCTATAAATTTATCTTACACCGCCATCTGTTAAAAGCTTATAGAACACAGATAACTATCACTCTTTGTCATCTAATAAACAAATAATTTGCAATAAAATAATATAGCGACTATAAATTGAGATGTAAGCTACCCTATCTTTCAAGTTGGATCATACTGCACACGTTGTGCAAATTTGATTAAAATCGGTTAAGTGGTTTAGTAGTCCATCGTGAACAAACAAGGTGACACGTAATTTGTATATATTAAGATAACACTGTTTTTGGCAATCTTTTTTTTAAGACTAAATTTAATGAAGACTATGTTTCGCTTTATATACATACTCGTAACTCATTTTGCACTACATAAACAGAGATGTGTCCCGAAATGTCCTAGGAGCGCAGGGTGCTCCTGGTGCACCGGCAGGAGTGCCGGCCGCCGCCCAAGAAGCCGAAGCGTCGCACCTTCCAGCAGATAATGCGCGAGGTGGAGGGCGGCCAGGACGTGGACGCGCGCGAGCCCACCACCTGCCCCATCTGCGTGCTCGAGGTGGCCAGGTGCTCGCTCAAGCACCACCTGCTCACGGAGCACAGCAACCCGGACACGGTGCCCTTTTTTTTAATAAGTTTTTTTTTTAAAAGAAGCGGCTTCAAAAACCTACTCTATTTGCACTAAAGAGTACCTGGGAACCTTAAAAAGAGAGCATACTCTTTCTTGAAAGTCGGCAACGCATTTGTGAGCCCTCGGGTGTTGCAGGTGTTCATGGGCGGTGGTGATCTCTTACCATCAGGTGAGCCTCCTGCTCGTTTGCCCCTTTTCTCCATAAAAAAAAAATAGAACCTTGCTAAACAAAATAGAAATAAGATATGTGTGATATTATTGTGTAAAATCGCTGTTTTCGCTTTCTCAGCTGTACTGAATACATCTACTTAACCTTTTCGAGCGTACAGGCGTGATGTTATTTTATTTGATGGCGCAGAACAATGCACTGGGGGCATTATCTATGCGATAGCAGCAACCGCGGTTGATTTGTCATTTTTGAAGAGTTCCGTTGTCTACCTCCGAAAATCAACATCTATGATCTGTGTATACGAAATTTAAATGGGAACATCACGGAATAAAACCCTTTCGAACTTTTGAATTTGAATACATAACAAAAAAAAAAACATAAACATCCGAATTGACAACCTCCTCCGTTTTTGAAGTCGGTCAAAAAGGGTCAAACGAGCAGAAGGCTCACCCGATGGTATTAATATATGGTCGTAAGAATAATTATGCTCCTCCCCCGAAGGTGCTGACCTGCGCCAAGTGCAACAAGAAGTTCAAGTCGCGGCTGACGCTGAGGGAGCATGTGAGGCTGGTCCACGAGGCCGTCGAGGACTCTGTGGAGTGCGAGCTCTGTGGCCAGAAGTTCCGCTCCTACAAGTACCTCTCCAACCACAAGAGGAACGTCCATCCACCGGGTGAGACCTCGTTCTGTATATTTCTTTTACTTGAGAAGAAGCAATTCAGCTGGCGGTTCTATACGAGTATACTAAGTTCTAGGCCTAGTATACGATAGTTTTTTATACGACAGGCAGAAGTGGCTTAAACCTCTCCACCCACCACAAAGGGACGTATATTTCTTATCCTTACACCCGTTCTCTGAAACACTGATCATCGTAGAAATTAACTGATCACCTGTCAAATAGCAAAAACAGCCGAGGCTGCTACGTAGCCCTACCACAGTTAAACTGATACGCCGATGGGAGGTGTGCTCGTCACTTCCTTAAACCTGATGAATATTATTATCATTATTTTTATTCAAATGCTTACTGTGGTAGTGTCACGCACTATTTGATTTATTTGCTAAAGTAGCGTTCCGGACGTCTGAAACCGTAAAAACTGTATGATACTACGAAATCCGTAAAATAGATCCGAATTCGCCACGCGTAGCATTCGGTTCGACATTGAGAATGGGTCACTGGCCGCAGGCGACCAGGTGCACCAGTGCGCCACCTGCGGCAAGCGGTTCAAGAGCCGCCTCTGCCTCCACCAGCACAGCAAGTACGTGCACCCGCCGGAGAGCGCCTCCGTGGAGTGCATCCAGTGTCTGAAGATCTTCAAGTCGCGGATCAACCTGCAGCAGCACCTGAAGGTGGCCCACAAGCGGACCCCCCCACCGCACCCCGACGACCTCTACCAATAAACTGTGCTCAAACAACAAGGCCTTTTCATTTACTCGAAGATATGTGGTAGGGCCACGCAACGGTCTCCGTTGCACGAATGGGCGGGTCCGTCCGGGGCAGTGCCAACTCATGGAAGACTGGCGTGAACTGGAAGTTACACTTCTGCGTTTCGTCCGGTGAGTGAGGTAGCAGCTATTTATTAAAAAGTGGCAACGCATTACAACCCTACGGGTGTTGCAAATGTCCATGGGCGGCGGTTATCACTTAACATCAGGTGAACCGTCAGCTCGTTTGCCATCTCACATACAAAAAAAGATAAAAACTGTTACACCCAGTCACGTCTGTTACTTACAAATAGTTAATTCTTCCCTTGACATAGTCGTAAATTAAATATCAAGTATTGATGTCGTTTCCATTTATTTTTTGTACATTATCTTAATGAGTTTACGCGATCGATCGCGTAGCCTAACAGTCTACAAACAGTCAACTCTCTCCTTACTCAATACATTCACCACTTTTAGTGATTTCGAAACATAGGAAATTCCAAACCCGACTCGCTTTTCAAGATTTAAGAGATTTTGCTATTTTAATTCTTTTAGTGAGTTGAGTTCAATGTTTCATATGTTATTTAAACTTTCTTGGCTCATTATTAAAAAAAATTTAATCAAGACTTTATTTGTTTCTAAATGTTGTTTTTCCTTTGAAAAATTACACGGTACACTTAGCAGATTCACCGTATTTTTTTCTAAAAACACCGTAATTTTACCCTTGCAACACGGTAATTCTTGATTTACGTATGGAGACGTTGGTGTCAGATTTACGTGACGGTGTGTGCGTGCGCATTATAAAAATTTACTCTCATCATTTTTCTCTAACGCGCCAAAAGAAGTATAAAAAAATTTAAATATTAACTTTAAATTGTTAATTAATAACTTTAAAAATTAAAGTTATTAACTAAGAAGTGAATGGATGCGTGAGAAAACTCATTGCCATTCCCAAAAGTATTAGAAAAACCCTAATGACAGTGACATAACGAATCGTCAACAAAAAATTTGTGTGTTTAACCGATTGGCACATTTCTTCTAAGAGAAGGCATTTATGAAAGAAACCAAACCAAAGTTTGGTTTATTTGATGATATCGCTTCTTGTTTAAGCGCTAAGTGCTTCGTGCTTACCGTGAAAGAGAAGTCGAATCATTATACACGCAATGGCATCTCAAAATTTAATGCAATTTTACGAGGAAGTATACACAAAAAACATTTCATATTGCGCAATGTGCCTACGGTCCGAGACTGAGGTTCGATTGACCGCGCCGCTGGTGTTCAGAAAGGCTTTGGGCGCTCTGAAATATATGGATACTGTGAGTTATATGAAAGCCTCTCGTTAGAAAGATCCATCATAAAAACATAGACAGAAATGAAATCACGTTGATTTAGCACTATTACTTCTTCCTGGGCACTATTCCTTGGCAAAGTTTGCTTTTTAAGAAAAGGGAGCAAGGCCGTTCACGCACTTTTACTATTAAGAAAGTAAATAAAGGGTTAATGTGTTAATCAACACCAAAACAGTAATCAACATTCTACTAAAACTGTGTAAAAGTGTTACAAAAAAGATATTTATTATCATTGAAAAATTACCAAGTTAAATAGTAGCCCTTAACTTAATTTTTTAACAACTCCAAAAGTGGACTATAGTAATTTATAGTGTGATTGTGTTCAAATAATAAAAACGGTGATCCATTTTTACACTATAGTATGCTAATTTGTTGGTTTCTTTTTTGTGAAAAAGTCATCACTGAATATCATTCATGTCTTAGTAGAGCTGGTATATCTCTGGGTAAAATAAAAACTACTTTATAGCTGTATAGCAAAATATTTGTAAGCCCATAGATTTTTTTCTGCCAAAATGTTTATTGGAAATGCAATTAAAACCTTAATTCAATAGTAAATAAATATTATTCACATTATTAAAAAAAAAACAGTGCAACAGGTATGTTTTAAACATAGACAAAGTCGGTGTAAACCCAACGGATATATCTACTCCAATGCAGCACCACACAGCATTTGATGCCTGTTACTTAATAAGCGACTACCTATTGCTTTATTGCTATCCCACATGATGTTAAGTAGCAATGCAGCTTTGGATGCTAATGCACTATCTCAGTAGAAGCCTATTCACTGTTGCCTTGAAGACACCAACATTATATTCTGATGGAAAAACAGACGCCAGACAAATTGTTCCATTCCTTTGCCGTGCACATAACAAATGACATAGGAAATCACAGAGTTAATGGTTATTAGACACCATGAATGATGCAGTGTTGTTTGTCGGTCTTCGCTAGAGCTAACATCGTCTTCCGCACTTTGTTTGCTTTCAGATCCGCAGTGAAAACGTATGCTACATGTGCGAGGCGCGCGCGGCGACCGTCGCAAGGTTCGTGGACATGCTGCAGCTGGCGGTGGAGATCCAGTTGGCCTTCGAAAACTCCTTGCTGGCCACTGGAAAGAAAAGGGTAATTCCATTGAGATAGCTGTTCGCTGGTGCGATTGTCAATGTCCCCTTGCCATCTGTGTTGTCCACGCGCTCAATCCATCTGTATCGGAGCTTTTCATATTTTTGTACCTATATGAAGAATATTTCTTAGGGAATCTGTTGTGACAAAGCTCATTAATAATTAATACCGTATATAATTAATACCGTATATAATTATGATGGATTACGAAGTACAGAAGTTATTCTGCATATGTATAGATGTGCGATAAAACATTTTATCCAAAATCTTTTTGTTGTGCCTTTCATTGTGTTGTGTCATATACAATTGATATTGAGCAATTTAATGTTTTTTAACAAGCATAGATAGTACTACATAAATAGAACTGATTATGTATATACTCTGGTTATGATTTTCACTTTGCGATTTGATGATTTGCCACTAAAAATTTATATGTTTAATTATAGACTAATGCTATTTAATCAACTATAAGCAAAGTCGCTCAGCGAGCTATGGAGCTGGCTATGTTCGGTATTTCTCTGCGTGATAGAGTTAGTAACGAAGACATCCGCAGTAGAACCAAGGTAACCGACATAGCTCAGAGGATTAGCAAGCTGAAGTGGCGATGGGCCGGCCATATAGCTCGTAGAACCGAACCGTTGGGGAAGAAAGGTTCTCGAGTGGCAGCCTCGTACTGGCCATCGCAGTGTGGGACAACCCACTAGATGGAGTGACGACCTGTGCAAGTGTGCGGGAAGTCGATGGATGCAGGTGGCTCGTGTTCAGCAGGGGACTCAAACAGGCTGAAATGATGAGTGCTATTTAATTATTACTAATGTCAAAGTTGTTGGGTCAGTGACATTACAGCACCTGGAAGATTCGACATTAGATCTTATTCTGGTTCAAATCCAAGCCAGCTTCATAAAAGTTATTGGACTTACAGACTACATAATATAATTAATTTTTGATAACTCCGTGGCGCAGTTGCCAAGGTATTGGCTTTGGCGTCGGGGCTCGTGGGTTCGATTCCCACACGGGACAACTACATGTGTTACACACATATAGTTGTTTCGCAACTGGGTGTTTATTAACAAAGCGTGTAGTTTGTTTGTAAAACGTTCTTACAACACAGGACAATGTATATTATAAAGTAAGGGCAATGTTATTAAAGAACGAATAATAAAAAACTTCTGTAACCCTGTCGCTTGTCTGGTGACAGTCTCACCACTTGTTAAGTTGACCTGCCTCAACAGTAATATAGATTTTTCCCCTCACGAGTAATTTAAATAAAAAATATTGTGTGAAATTAGTCCAGGGGGCAGAAACGGGACCTAGTTAAATGACACACCAGACGAAACGGAGAAGTATAACACCTCTTCACACCGTTTACTGTGAGGGTTTGGTACCTTGCACTGCCCATTCATGCAACAGCGTGGCCCTAACGCATTGTGGCTTCGAGTAAACGAAACAGCCCTGTTGTCTTAGCATAGTTTAATGGTAGAGTTAGTCTGTGTTCAGGGGGGGGGGGGGGGGGGGGGGGGACCGTTTGTGCGACGCCTTGTGCTGCTGTAGATTGATTCGTGACTATAAGATCCTCTGGCATCGGGGCACTGTTCTGGTGGCATGCTCTTTAGCATATAGCACTTCGTCCGCTGCAAAGCATCTCACCGAACGGTGCAATTGCAATGTCGCAGAAGAAACGCGTGCGGGAGTATGTCGACAACTACCACGGCGCGTTCACCAAAATGAGGGCCCAAAACGAGCTGAACAGCACACAGGTCCTGCACGTGGACGCCATAATCGTGAGTGTGTTTTTATGCCAAACGAGCAAACGGTTCACCTGATGTTAGGTGAATACCGCCGCCCATGGACATCTGCCACACCCAAGGGTTGCAGATGCGTTGAGAACCTTTTGAAAATTGGGCTCCGGCCACCTCACTCACCAGACGAAACGCGAAAGTATTTGTCATACTTCCACTTTACGCTGGTCTTCTGTGAGGTCGTGGTGTAGGTACCACGACCTCACAGAAAAAACCTCACAGAAAGACCGGACGGGCCTGCCCATTCGTGCAACAGCCGAGGCTGCTGCGTGACCCTACCATCGTAATGATAAACCGTGTTGTATACGAAATTTTATTTCATTTTTTTTATAGTGCTACTCTGCACTTAAGTACTTTTTCTAAGTACTTTTTCTAGAAATTTTAATAAACCACACGGCCACGGCACGGTGCCAAGTACGCTTGCTGCATTTCGCTGAATAGTTATGCTTATCCTTTGAGCGAGAAAGAACCAGCTCTCTTGTCACCAGCCGCGGCGTTGAAGTTCTGGACCTGAAGTTTCAACAGCAAAGGGGCACAAATACGTAACCTGAACATAAATACTCATATTTGCGCCATTTACTTACTACAGCTGCCTCATGATTTTTTGTTGTCATTACAAAACTTATTAATCTTAATTGACATGAATTAATGAAAGGCATGTGAAATTGGTATCTAATTCGGTTTTTGCTTCAGGCCGACAACTCGATAGGACCCAAGCGCAGAACCGAAGTTATCAGAAAGCGCGAAAGAAAAAGGTGAGTGCATTTCGCTTCGCTATAACTTAAATTTTAAAGTTTTTTATAGTGCTAAATAATGTTAATATTGAACATTAAAACATGTAGAAAAAGTACGAAAAGATTGTCGCCGCTGTGGGAATCGAACCCACGTCTTCGGCATTCGCGGCCTGACGCTCTAGCCACTGAGCTAAACGGCTGATAGGCACAGCGACGAAAATCTTAACGCCTTCCTTCTACATTGTTATTTAGCATTTGAAGCAATGCTTAGCGCATCTATTGTTATATCCTTTCCAGCATACAATTTCGCTATAACTCATATGATATTCTTAGTGGTCAAATGCTGTAACCAATATTCACCATCACTACATAGTATAAAACAAAGTCGTCCCGCCGTCTATCTGTCCCTATGTATGCTTAGATCTTTAAAACTACTCAACGGATCTTGATGCGTTTTTTTACTAGATAGAGTGATTCAAGGGGAAGGTTTATACGTATAAAACATTGCGCCCGTGCGAAGCCGGGGCGGGTCGTTAGTTAACTATATAGGCGAATCAGTTCGTTTTAACACAAGTCAAAATCAAAAAAACGACCAGAATGGCGTAGTTGGTAGTGTACTCTCCTGCGCCAGAGGGTGTGGGTTCGACCACTACTGGAAAAATATTGAGTGATGAATATTGTGTCTTTCTATTGTCTGGGGATTATGTATGTATAATATGTATTTATTCACAAAAAAAGTATGTTCAAGTATGTTTGTTAGTTATCTAGTATCGATAGTACAAGCATTGCTTAGTTTGGGACTAGAGAACGTTGTGTAAAAATGTCTCCTAATATGTATAATAGGTATTTATTTACATAAGAAAAGTCTGTTACCAGTGACCTGGTAAACACTGTTATTATCGTTCGGACTCTTGATAGCCGTCGGAGCCTTTGATATAGTTTTATGTTTTCCCAATGAGACTGCCTATATTTTTTTAAGCTATCACTCAGCAGCGCAACCTTTGCAGAGCGCCGCCCGAGATAGAGACGGTCGTAATCGACGACGACAGCTCGAACGGAGTTACACAAGTGGCCGGTGCACAAACACCCCCGCCGAACGGCCGAGCGGCGGGCGCGCCGAACACGTCGATCGGCGCTGACAGCTTAGTGTACATAATGCCGGTGAATCCAGGCCTGCCGAACGGCTCCCTATACCTGCTGCCGACCGCTTCGGGTCAGATGCCGACCATCAGCCAAGTCAACGGCAGCGTTTCCGTGCCGCTGGAGAAGAGGGCGAGGCGGGAGGAGGAGGCGGATGACGACGTGCAAATCGTGAACGGAGATCTGGACTCGAACCCTGAAGACGGGCTGCCGGGGGAGCGGCTGCTGAACCAGGTGGTGAAGCTGCCCATCAGGACCGAAACGAGGGTCGACTGGGAGGACATGATACCGATGGAGGTCATTGCGTGCGCGGTGAGTTCCCCCCTCATTCGTTTCCACTTGTCCCCACGGCCATTCGCTTCGCTGTATCGCATTCGAAAATATATATGGTCTTCAATTCGGTTAGATATATTTGGTATTATGGTTCCTTATAGGAAATGGGTGGCCCGTAGAACTAGGGCCAGCCTTGTATTAATTTCAGTGGTCCCTAAATTCAGTCCAAAAGGTCTTTCGGGGAATTTAAGAAAATCTTTTATCCATATGACATTAATGTCCTCCCCGGCGCCATTGTAAAGAAAAAAGTAACTCAAGAACAATACCTTTGCTTTTTTTACCAAAATAAGTGGTGGTGATATTGATATTCCTATATGTATATATATCTATAATGTAATTTTTCAACATTAACAACATTTTGAGAATATTTTAAGCACCTTCGCAGACCGCTCAATAAATCGAAAAAACAAAGTTAGCCTCCAATGTAACATTTGTACAAATTTTTATTCATATATGTTTAAATCTGAATCAGATTTATTAACGTTTGGACCTTTGTAAGTATGAACAAGAATTTAACACAGAATACTTTGGACATTGTGCTTGTAGTGGGAAAAGACCACGCACTATCTGATTCAGAAACGGCCAGTATTATCTTATATCGGGGAAGTACCGAAGTGTTAATCTCAACTTTTCTCCCCTTCAAATTAGGACGACATGCGGGGGCCCACGGATACTCTACGCGAGGCGACCAACGAGCTCCTGAAGGACCTCCAGAAGGTCATAGATATGGCTGGGACCGTAGAATAGTTTTCTATGGGTCCCGGTTAAGTGTATCCTTCCATCAGACGATGGCATATGTGAAAATGTCAAAGCGAAACATTCACTTCTCAGTAGGGACGCCGAAAATTAAGAAATATATCGATATTTATAAAAATAACAATATCGGTTTCGACATATCGAAGAGAAAATATCGAAATTTGCTTTTTAGGCATTGTTGTCCAAAAAAAAACCTATGCAAAGTATTAAATATTTGATTATACGGACTGTCGATTTTATAAAAATTATTGATATTTTTTCGGCATCCCTACTTTTCAGTATTCATAAATCCAAAGACTAAAATGACTTGTGTTGCCATTAGATGCGTTACATTCTATTGCCGTAAAATCTTAAAGAGCGGCCGTTCCTCTCTGTCTATAACGCTTTGGTGAGTACCCATTAAACAATTTTCAAAAAATATTTAACAGTTAGTGAATCTCATAAATAAAATTCCTCTATGACATTTCACACAATTGATACAGTGAAGGGTTACCAGAATTGAATATATAAAATTTGAGAAAATTATCATGTATGGCCTTACTTTATTAACTTTCTTTGATGGACTTCAGCGAAGAATACATAATAAAATGATAAAATATAATATTTTCTCTGATACAGGTTTATATTTAAGTCAGTAAAAAAAACGTTAGTATAGTGCTCATTGAAAGATTTATATATGACAGACTTTGTAATAACTTCAATATTCCTATTTTTCAGCAACTGAGGAAAAAGGAATGTCAGAGATGATTGTCACTTTAGCCTTTGGAATTTAAAAAAAATAAGCTACAATGTTCACATTTAATTTCGATGTTTTGCACTTTATCGATTTACGATAGTCGCATCGGTGTTTTGAAAGTGATTGTACGTTCCAAGTATAGTTGCAGACTATTAACTATATATTGTTATGAATTGTTTAAATATGCTGAGAGGGATTAATTTATATGGATTATGTATATTAGGTTGTCATACAATTTTATCTATATATGCTGCCAACCAATACAAGTAAATTTTTATGGTCACTGTACATGGGCCGATCAATGATATATCTATATATATATATATATAAAAATGGATTGCTGTTCCTTAGTCTCGCTAAAACTCGGGAACGGCTGGCCGATTTGGCTAATTTTGGTTTTGAAATATTTGTGGCAGTCCAGTGAAGGTTTAAACGATGAGAAGTTATGGAAAAATTGCATGGAAAATCAAATTAGCAACAATTTTATTCTTCTTCTTCTTCTTCTTTGATTAATGGCCTCTCTTAAAAGAATTCTGCCAATGTCATGTCAGTCATGGGAGTCACACTTATTAATGAGTTACAAAAAGGAAACAATTTTATTTTCCCATACAAACTGTACCTGTCAACCTGTCAACTGTGTCTGTGTAACCTGTCATTTGTCAAACACTTTATGCGTGCGTTCCGATTCCTCTAGAAATAATTTATATGGCAACGGAGTCAGCTAGTAATAAATAAAAATATGAGGAAGATATGACATTAGCACAAATTACGCCACTTAGTGTAATTTTATAGACTGCTATCCCTCTCTGCATTATACGTTCTATATCATATGCAAAATTCACTTATATACGTCTTATAGTATAAAGTGGAACAATTTTTAAACGCAGTATGGACTTGCGTCATCTATATTATTGAACATTAGGCCGATGCTAATTTAATTAGCTTTAATTGTTATGATCGCAATCGCAATTTAAAAAAAAGAATAAGAATAAAGGATATAATAATATGAATAGTGATGGATTTTCCAATAAAGGCAAAAAGAAGACTTTATATGGGTAATACTAAATATAAAATTAACATAAAATATAGTTAATGAATTTTTGTTAATGATATTAAATTCTCAATGAGGTTATTATTTAGAGTAATTACTTATAAAGGTCTTTGAATTATACCTAGACGTTATAAAAGTTTAACGTTTGAAATTGGATGTCAATTTGAATTAATATTCACTTTGTCGCATAGTAATCGTAGCAAAAGAAAATGAATAAATTGTTCTCCAATAACTAATCAATTATACAATATTTTCATTTTCGCTTTTAATTCTATCGAAATCTTTAATTATTAAATATCCTTTGACGTTACTTTATTAAGATCTTTAATAAACTTCATTATTGCATTCATAACTTGTTAGTTCTTTTATCTTTAATATTAATAAAATATCTTTATTCACTTAGACGCTTGCGCGTTCTTATGAAACGTCGAAATTTTACAAGGAAATTAATATGTTCGTAAGTTACCACCGGTTCGGAAAGCAGTTTCTGTTGAGAAGAAACCGGCAAGAAACTCAACAGTTGCTCTTTTTTAAAAGGTCAGTTTACAATATAATGTTACTGGTATAATAGTCTTGTTTTAGCCTACGTGAGTATGAACAGTATTAACCCCACACATTGGCGTCGGCGAGATATTCCGAAATGGTATAATATGCTTTAATCATCAGTTGATTTTTAATTTTACATTTAAATTGGTCAAGCGGCAGACTTAATATCGACTGTGGGATTTTATTATACATGCGCACACTTTGCCCCATGAACGACTTATTTACTTTTTGTAGACGAAACAATGGCGTAGTTAGTTTGTCCTTATTTCTAGTATTTAGTTTATGACTGTCACTATTCTTTAGATAATTATGTTTAACATACAAAATATTACAATAATTATATTGAGATGCAACAGTGAGTATATTAATCTCTTTAAAAAAGGTCTCTGAGTGTATTCCGGGCTCCGATGTTATAGATTGCTCGGACAGCTCTTTTTTGAAGAATAAATATAGAATTTATATCAAATGCACTACCCCACAAAAAAATGCCGTAAGACAAGATGCTGTGGAAATAACTGAAATAAACAAGTCTGGCAGTGTCGATGTCTGATATCTGCCTAACCTTCCTAATTGCAAAAACAACGGAGCTTAACCTGTTCGCAAGAGATGATAGATGTTCGCTCCATTGAAGCTTTGAATCCACTGTAATTCCCAAGAATACAGCGGACTCAACAGGATTAAGTTTAACTTAGTTTATAATTATTAGACCTGTTGTTGATTTCCGCATGATTTATTTTAGTTCTTTGGTTACATACATAACTCATAGCTATATTTGCAAATAATTCCCTTTTAAATATTATTTTGCTGACTTTATTATGATAATTATCTATGTTTATACGATAGAGGGATGTACAGTGTTACTATAGGTTATAAACATAAGTTATAAACTATAAACTGTAAGGTTATTTTTGAAGTTGATTAAAATTATTTTTAAATTAAAATGCTCTTTCAATGGTTTCCTGTGAACGAAACAACTTCGGAAGCCCCCCTTTCCCCCACATTTTTTATTTTTTTTTGATTAAACCTTTTTACTGTGAACGATAAAATCGTAATAGCTCAGTGCCCGGGCGCTCTTCCTTAATTCAATATACTCGAGCGACCTGAGTTCGATCAATCAATCAATGAAATTGTTAATTTCAAGTGCTGAATTATCACGTGCTCAGCGGTGAAGGAAAACATCATGAGGAATAGGATATTTTCGAAATAATAATAAAAAAAAATATTTGGAAGATATGCGAAGTACGCCAATCGGCAGTGGGGCCTGCCCTGATACCCTCTGTATAGAGGAGGCCTTTGCCCAGCAGTGGCACATGTATAGGCTCATACTTTATTTTACTTAAAACGATTATTTAAAAAGATATTTTTTTAAATGTGAGAAGGTGGCAAGCGAGGTGGTGGTTCACCTAATGTTAAGTGATAACCGCCGCCCATGTACATATTATGCACTTCCTGTAAGGTTGCAGATGCGTTGCCATCTTTTAATTCAGTGGACTCCGCCTACCTCACCATCATCACGAAACCCAGAAGTATGTAACTACCACTTCGCGCCTGCCTTCTGTGAGGTCTTTGTACTAACACGAATGGACCTGCCCATTTGTGCAACAGCCGAAGCGGTTGCGTGGTCCCACATCAGTCAAACTGTACGACAAAATTCACTCCAATTGGTAAACATCACTCCTCGTTTTGTTGTGATCGACAAATTTACCCCATACAGATTCTGTACTACGACAAATCTCATCTGCAGAGGTCATGACCCGGTGATATAAAAGCCCTTAACGCGTAAGGGGCCCATGGTGTCTGTCGACGTTACCTTGGTAAGAGTGGTAACCCCTGGTTATTTTCCCTAAGTAGGTTCAAAGTGTGACAAATCATAAAGTTTAGTTGAATCACTTGCTGTCGCCTCAGCTGGATATTTTTCATACGACGCACTGCCTGGTTGTTAAGACCATACCACCTGATTGCAAGCGATAAAGCCGCCATTGGGGGTGAACGCATCCAATTTAACTATTATTGAATTGAGTGCGTTAGTCAATATGTTACGAAAATAATTAGTTCACGCAAACCATTAATCTTCGTAATTAAATAGAGAATGACCGTATTCAAACTCGCAATTAGATAACAGTGATATCACGACTGACGTAAGTGATTTACAGATTTGGTACATGTGAATATCGTTTGAATCGGGGACTCGGGGACCCCATATTCATTGACGAGCGTGCTGTGCCAGTCGGTCAGTTGATCCATTTCCATCCCTCTACCGCTAAGTCCTTGCCGATTGTTCTATAATGAATGGTTTAGAATCATTGCTGGTTAGATTTGCTGTATGCCGTTTAACACAGTTTAAAATATTAAGACAAATTACAAGAAAATATTAACAAATTACAGAGTCATAAATAAAACAATTTCTTATTTATTTTACAAAAAGAAAAAGAAAAAATGACTGATGTTTTAATACTTAAAATTATTTACATAACAAAAATTTCTTGTTCAACTTTTTATACTCTGTTACTTTTGTTATCTATACAAATTCTTTATGTAATGGCGGACAACAACGCTTCACCGAAGTGGATTGTTACGTACGCAATTTGAGTGTAAAACAAAATAAAACAATAAGAGAACAATAGATTATAAGCGATCATAATTAATTAGTGTCACTAGAGTGGCAATGAAAGAGTGGATGTGATTTCAACGAAATACTTTTACGGCATGGTGATAATTAATACATAATGACGCAGTTCTTACCCCCAAATCTACTTGCACTATTCGCGGCGCGGGACCCCATTCCCTACTTGCCACCGGCGGCGAAACTCCCGCACGAGAAGAAGCAAAAGGGATACGATGGAGTCGGGGCTTTCCTTAACGTGTTTGAGGTTAGTTTATATTAATCTTGATAGCCAAGCTTCCCGGTAACAATCATAAAGTTTGATATTCATTTAAAGAATTAATTTCCTATATGTGTTTTTATCGTTAACGCTATATACATTGAACATAATTGCCCCGAGGGTGCCACTAAAGTGAATTGCGATTAGTATAATTTTTTACATTATAAAAATCCAGCACCCATCTGAGACTCCGCCACCTACGCGGGTGGAGACTCGCGAGGAGCGGCTCGAGAGGCGGAGGCGTGAGCGTGCCGAGCAGACCGCTTACCGATTGGAGCAGGAGATCGCTCTTTGGGATCCCGCTGCCAATCCCGTCGCCACCACTGACCCCTTCAAGACTCTGTTCGTGGCCCGCATTGTAAGTTTCCTTTTGCTGTCCAACCTAGCTATTTAAATTTACGGACATACTTAAACTTGTTCAACAATGGCAGGGATGAAAAGAATTGAAGTGTCATGGAAAAGTATTTTTCTCTGGAAAATTAGTTAATAGCTGATTCATCTGATGTTTTTATTACTGCAGGCATTGGAAGTATACATCAACTAAGGTGATACGAATGTTTAAATGACTTGCAAAACTTTAAATACGGACACTTTTCAGTTGTTGACTCACTCTTCATCCAAGTGAGTAAACCATATCCAAGTTCTCTATTAGGCCTTGATGTTTCACATATGATTCGGCCTGTTCGTGCAACAAAGGAAGTTTATGCATGACACCACCACAGTACAAAAACCTACAACAATATTTCCCTCACTATATAGATTGTTTTTAAATACAAACATTTGCCAGCTACTGATGTGGGTGATGGATACCCATGTAATAATAAAGAAACAATATTGTCACTTTTTCCTTGGATAAAAGTCAATTGAGGTCATTAGATAAAATATAGCTGTTTCCTTTAAATTATAATAGTCTGATGATAGCATCAGACTAATTTAATAAATAGTTGATTTTTTTTGTAACTAAGAATTTTTTTTTAATTCAAAACTGGCCAGCCCTTGACTGCCAGTGGCGATGCTGCTGTACCATTAAGAATAAAAAATAAATTGGACTGTAGTTATTGATTGTTAATTAAATAATAATTAATGTAATGGCGCATTGGATATTGTATATGGATTATAAATTTGCAATCCAGGAAGCACAAGTGACAAACAACAGGAACATGTTAAATAAAACTAATTTTAATTGGTAAGGAAGGGGGGTAAGAAAAATTATTAAATACAACCAATTTTAATTGGTAAAATTAGTTTAAATTAATGTGCTATTGCTACCTTAACTAGATGGAGTGATGACCTGTGCAAATGTGCAGGTGGTCTGTGGGGAAGGTCTGTTTTGCAGAGGATTAACCGGCTGAAATGACGATGTTGTAATGATAAGCGTAACCTCAAGAAAACATTATCTGTATTGTAAATTTTCTTGTTTTCATTTATATGGTTTATTAATATTAATATTTTTTATTATCAATCATGAAATGACCTAATTCAAATTGTTTATTTTTTGTGATTTCTCGCTTAATCCTATTTTTGATTCTTTTCAGAATTACGACACTTCCGAATCTAAGCTAAGAAGAGAGTTTGAAGGATATGGGCCAATTAAAAGAGTGAGTATAGTTGTATCATGTTTTATTTAGTAACGAACATGCTTCGTGGCAGTCTATGGGGTAGGCCTATGTTCAGCAGTGGACTCAAACTGGCTGAAATGATGATGATGAAGGAAAGTTTACTAAATTATGCAAAATTACTTTAACACCATTTTGGAATTTATTGGACTTTGATGTATACCATAGCAAACACTCCAATATTATACCATATTATAATATTGGAGTGTTTGCTATTAATATAATATTATAATTAATAATGTTAATAATTTTACATTCATAAGTTTCACAGTTTTCAGTAGATCGCATAATGATGAATCAATATTTTTAATGAACAATCTTGCACAAGCCTAAGACATGCAAATACCAACCCAATGCAGAATATCGCCAGATAGATTGCATGATAAATATTAATTTAAAAAAAAAATTCACATGGATAGACACTCAGATCTGAAACAACTATCTGTGGGTCACACAAATAGTTCTCTTGTTTGGCAATCGAACCCACGACCCTCCAATACCTGCGGCAAATGCGCCACGGAGTCGTCGTGGAATGGAGTAACACATATAATTTTTCCTTCCAGATAAACATGGTATTCAACAAAGAAAATGACAAACCGCGCGGCTACGCTTTCATTGAATACGAACATGAGAGGGACATGCATTGTGAGTTGCACACTTATTTTCTTCGCGACTCCCACAGCCAGAGCGGAGTGGTCGCTATGTTGTGAACAAATGTGTGAACATATGCCTTATTGGCGATGCATCTGGGATGTAAACATATACAGAAGTGTATGCCTAGTTCAGTATTACCACTTTTGTAAAAATATGTACGAATTAGTTGATCTAAGACAAAAATATATTAACCGATTGATAAAAAAGTGGAATGTTTCTTGAATTCTAAAAGACTATAAATTTCTTTTGTTTTGATTTTGCAAATAGCATATTTTCATATCAGCTTCTAAAGTAACTCAAAAAATATTGTAGTACAGTTGGAATCTAAATGTTACCATAACAAAAATGAAAACAATTAATCGTAGATATATATTCTTTAATACATTTTTTTAAATTTAATCAAAGCGACCACTTCCCTCTTATGAACATACACAATTTCTAAGTATTAGTAACATTTTTTAAAAACATGTTATCTAATAAACTTGAGATTGTGTATGGTAACTACAATCCAAATAAAAACGCCATGTTATAGAAGCCATTTGATAAAGCCATCGCAAGTTATCGACTATACTAGTCTCTACATATGGCATGTAAAAAGGAATGTGATGTTTTTTTCCAAATAGAGTATGAAATTTTGTTGACAAAGCTTACACTGTATATGTTGTCCATATACAATGTATATAATCTTGCATTGACATTTATAATATAAAAAATGGCTTACTGTTTTGCTAAAGGGGGATTATGGTCAATAAATCATTAAATTCCCGAATTGTTAAATACCTTCTTGGAGAAAATACCTTTTGGGATGAAAATATTAAATTCTATTCTAGTGAAAGAAGACTTTCCAAAAAGTAATTTTCCCATTTTCTAAAAGTTTCAAATGAGCTGTAAACAGCGTTTGAATTATCACACTGCAAAAACTACAGCAGAATCATTATTTATGGCCGTTTAAAGTTAATCTGGATTGTAAATCATAGATTACATTAACGTTTTATTTTTCAAAAAAAAAATACAATCTAATTTTATTTAAGCATCATAATTTTTTCAATCAAACATTTGGTTTATGTTTGAGTCTTTTTTTTTTAATCCATCCACGTAAATGTATCGAATATAAAAGTTTGGCCAGATGTCTCTTAGGTCGTCTGGAATTAATTGATTGGGTTATGTATTCCTCTCATATAAAATAAAGTTTCCCCATTAGGGTGGTCCGAAGGGGCGCTCGCGGGCCCCTTATGACGCGCGTGTTTCATCAATGATTAATAAGTGGTTTTTCTATTTTTACACCACAGACCCAGCCGTAAAGACCCTACCACACAAACTCACGAGATAACCGGCAACTCACTTTAATAGGTTTGTATGTGGTAAGATGCCAACATACAACTTTGAAACGATTATGAGTTAACTGAGAGATATTTTGTTTTCCAAAAGAGTTTAGTATAATTTGTATATTGTTAACAATAACGACACGGACAACAGTTATTTTCTTTTTTTTTTTTTTTTTAAATTCATCAGTAGTGTCGAACCTTTTTAGTTTGATGCGACGGTCGAGTGTCGGGTGTTTCTAGCTTGGGTCCGAATTGACCTCCGATTTGTATCCCGACCCTTGGCCGAACGCTACATTTATCCCCCCCCTCTGTTGATTTTTTGTTCTGAATTTCAATTGCGCCCAGAGTGGATTTACGTAAGTAATGCGCACCAGGTAAATGGGTACTATAACGTCGCGGGAAAAACAAATCGAAAAAAAAAAGTATGTATATCGAAAAAACTTCAAAAAAAAAAAAAAAAAAAACTCGGAAAAATTTCGAAACGAGTGTAAGTGAAAGTAAGTTTGCGCGAGTAGACGAGCGGACTTCGGATCCGATTTCGCTTAAAAGAAAGTAAGTAGCCACGGTAGGTATGTGCCAGTGAATCAATATGGTCTATTTGTTCTATCGCTGTCGATAACGGGTACAGTATGGCGTCTACGGTTCGGTCGGTAGGTATTTCGTAGGTGTTTCGGTTATATTGAAACGACAATGTTTTGATGTGGGGGCTCCCCCCGTTCGCGTGAAAACACGAGACTTCCATCGCGGATTGGCTTCGCCGATCCGCAATGGAAACTAAACTCGTTCCGAATTCGCGTTTCATTTTTTGATGTATAAGTTCTAGAATTTAAATGTCTAGCCGCGCATGTCACCGTTCGAAAGGGCTGCGTGCGCGGCTATATATTCGCATTTACACGGACTATTGTTTACATTTCATATTTGCGTGTTTACAAAACATATGTGATGTTTACAGAACATGAGCGATGTTTACAAAGTATATGCGATATTTATATATCATATGTGGTGTTTACAAAACATTTGTGATGTTTACAATGCATATGCGATGCTTACAAAGCATATGTTATGTTTACAGAACGTTTTGCAGTCGAAAATAGTCCATGTAAATACATTCACATATCAAACTGCGCGACGCGGACGGCTTCAATTTTTTTTTTTTTAAGTCTAAAGTGCCAGTCCTACAATTAAAAACATGTTTTGTCTACTCTCGTTTATCGAATTTCTTACATGCTGTGTGCGATATATAGGTAAATATTGTTGGGTTTGTAATATATTCTAAAACTCTCTGCATCGTTGACTACCGCACATTATTGTAATTTATTGTATGTATTTACACTATATATGATATGTATACTCATATATAGTGTAAACACCATATTATCCTGCCCTATCGAAGCATTGGTCTTCGTTCCACTTGCATTTACGCTCGAGTGTTCTACGGTCGGTCAGAGAGTAGCTTCAGCTTAACAATAATCGTAAGCCGCACGTAGGCTGGCACTTGGCCGTCCCGCGCTCCATAGCAGAGCGGGCCTAACGCGTCATTCCGCCTTCGCAGCCGCGTACAAACACGCTGACGGCAAGAAGATCGACGGCAAACGCGTGCTGGTGGACGTGGAGAGGGCTCGCACCGTCAAGGGGTGGCTGCCGAGGAGGCTCGGTGAGTGGTGTTAGGGTGAGTGGGTGAGTGGGTGAGTGGGTGAGTGGGTGAGTGGAATCGCCGTCTGGGGTTAGGGTTGTCGACAATTGGATTCCGATGCGTGTATCTCTTGGGGGTCGCACATCGATCACGCGAGACTCGAAAGGGTTCAGTAAGAATCATGGAAGATATGGAAATTATGGAAGTGATTTCGTGGTGACTCCGTGGCTTCGGCGTCGGGGGTCGCGGGTTCGATTCCCACACGGGTCAACTATTCGTGTGACCCGTAGGCAGTTGGGGTAGGCAAGGTTCTCGAGTGGAGACCATCTGTTGGAAAACGCAGTGCAGGGCGGCCACCCGCAAGGTGGACTGACGTCCAGTCCAAACTCGCGGGCTTTCGCCGGATGCAGGCCGCTTCAAACCGATCAAAGTGGAAATACCTGGAGGCGGCCTATGTTCAGCAGTGGCCGCGTACAGACTGAAATGATGATGATGATGATGATAGACAGTTGTTTCGCATCTAGGTGTTTGTCCGCGTGAAGTTTGTGTTTGTAAAACGCTCTTGCAACACAGGATAATGTCATCCTAAAGTTAGGGCAATGTACTCGCGGGCTTTCGCCGGATTTTTAAACCGTCAAAGTTTCTGGAACGGCCTATGTTCAGCAGTGGCCGCTTACAGACTGAAATGATGATAATGATTAGACAGTTGTTTCGCATCTAGGTGTTTGTCCGCGTGAAGTTTGTGTTTGTAAAACGCTCTTGCAACACAGGATAATGTCATCCTAAAGTTAGGGCAATGTATTTTTTTTTAAAGTCTTAAAGTTTCAACTGTCTAACCATCACATCAAGTGTTACATTTGCGCATCTGCGACCTTGAGATTGTTGTAGATGTCCGTGGGCGGCGGTAGTTACAATAAACTCAAAATTATTATTCATCGACATAGGAAAATAGTAATTTATTTATGTGTATATTATATTATAACGTTATCTATTGTATATTATAACTTTTTTATATTGTTGAGGTTGTAATTGATTTTTTTTTAATTCCTTTTCATTTGTGATTTTCTGTTGTTTCCCAAATAAATAAATGAATAGAAACATACATTCCATCTATTGATGGTCATTTTTTTACCTCAAAATAAACTATAAAAAAAACTTATAAAACTGTATGTTATATGTACTGTATGCTGTATGTTATTTCTGTCCGCGCTCTGCTGGCGTCTACTGTTGGGGCGCGATAAAACCGCAAAAGCGGCCGGGCCCATATCGGGCCCGTCAATCGAGGACACATTTCGCCACCCCCCCGCTCCCCCCCCCCCCGGTGATACGCGGGGGGCGGGGGGGGGGGGTTGAACAGCATCAAGGTTAACCGAGGCCCTCGATGGGTCGTGGCAGGCGGCGGCCTGGGCGGGACGCGGCGCGGCGGCGCCGACGTGAACATCAAGCACTCGGGGCGCGAGGACAACGAGCGCGAGAGGGAGAGGTACCGCCTCGAGCAGAGGGACCACGACGACCGGGGCGCGCACAGGGACAGAGAGGGTGAGAGCGGCACACAAACACACGCACGCACACGCGCGCACGCACATGTGCAAACACGACGACAGGGCGCATCGCGACCGCGAAGGTGCTAGGGCCACACGCACACATGGCCAGATCAACGTCAATACGTGTCGCCAAAGCTAGTCTTGATGACACCGTGACGCAACACATGCACAGCACGCACACACACGCACACATGGCCAGATCAACGTCAATACGTGTCGCCAAAGCTAGACTCGATGACACCGTGACGCAACACATGCACACACGCACACACACGCACACATGGCCAGATCAACGTCAATACGTGTCGCCAAAGCTAGACTTGATGACACCGTGACGCAACACATGAACACACACGCACACATGGCCAGAACTACGTATAGACGTTTCGCCAAAACTCGACCCTGGACCCGAGCGCCTTAACACACACCTTTCTCGCCAATACAACGACAGGCGTATTGCAACCGCTTGGGTGAGCGCCACACGCACGCAAACACGTGCACACACACGCACACGTGGCCAGATAAAAGTCAATACGTGTCGCCACTCATGTTGATGTTTCTGTGGCGCAGTCGCTGAGTTATCGGCTTCGGGAGTCGCGGGTTCGATTCCCACACGGGACAATTATTTGTGCGACCCACAGATGGGTGTTTCGGATCTGTCTGTCGCGTGAAATTTATGTTTGTACATTTATGTTTGTACAACGACTTTACGACACAGGACCATGTTATTAAAAGTAAGGGTAATGTTTTTACATAAAAAAAAACCACATGACATGACGCAACACGACCGCGAAGGTGAGTGCTACACGCAAAAACACCTTCTATTATCATCATCTAAGTTTCGAAGGGTAGATTTTGGTCTGGTGAAGTTTCTCTCTGGTTGAACTTGGGATAAGTTCCAGCTTCTGCGATACCAAGGTAAAGGCCGTAATTTAAAGGAGTGATGTGACTAAGCTTCGAAGAACTCGATCGGCGTCCTCCTATCGGCCATCGTTGTGTAGCCCACTAGATAGTGGCCTCCTGTACAAGTGTGCGGAAAGTCAATGGATGCAGGTGACTCAGGATCCTGGTAGGAGAGGCATGACTATTGCCCGGTTCCTATATTCAACGAACGGCCGTTAGTTAAATAGCTTCGTAACTTTCATAACGACTCACTTTCCGTTGGTAATGCAACGTCTCGCAAGGAAAACGCCTCGTTTTCTTAATACAGGAACCGGCCGTACACGCCTTTTATCTACAAGTCGTTATTAAAGTTAGGAAGCTACGTAACTAACGGCTGTTCGTTGAATATAGGAAGCGGGCATATGATATCTAACGCAAGTGGTGTTTCCAGCGGTTCGCCCCGGCGGGCGTCGGCGCACCCGCTCGCGCTCGCGCCGCCGCTCCGCCTCCCGTTCGCGCAGACGCGAGCGCGAGCGAGAGAGAGAGAGGCCCCGCGAGGAGGAGGTAGACAAGTGAGTATGCGACGCTTCACACACCTCCCCACACCTTCCCACACGTCCATACCACCCGTTCCACTTGCTTCGGCGAGTAAGTGTTGTGTTTTCATCGCCCTTGCCACCTGAGCGGAACCTTACTCCAATTATTTGTCACTCCACACCGTGTTTGAAAGCTACCATAGCTAAAATCATTCCACTTCCATATCACAATTTTATTCTTTCATAAGTAAGTATAATCAGAGATCAAGTAAAACACATATCTCTTAATCCGACTCTTCTGTGTCCACTTATTACGAAGCATTACCTTCGCTTATTCCTCCGCCGATATAATCGTTCATCTGTATATTGAAATTGAAACAACTCAGGCGGCGGCGGCGGTCGCGCTCGCGGTCGGAGCGGCGGCGCGAGCGGCGCGAGCGGGACAGGGAGCGCGAGAGGGAGCGGGACGGCAAGCCCGAGCGGTCGCGCTCGCGCGACAAGAAGCGCTCGCGGCGGAGGGACCACAAGGTCAAGGCGGAGGACGTCAAGGTCAAGGAGGAGCCCATGGACGGTGCGTCTCGTGCACTTCTCACCATAGGCACACGGCCGTAGAGCGTTTGTCACGTTGATGGCTCTCGAGGTGCTAAATCTTGATGCTTTTTTTATCCGACTGTGAAACAAGTGAACAAGCAGGCTTGTCCGGGAAGTGTCACAGACTACAGTAGAAGTCCGGCGTGAAGTGGAAGTACTGTATCTTCCCGTTCCGTCTCGTGAGTGAATTAACCCACTTTTGTTTCTCAACGCATCTGAAAACCCCCAAGTGTTTCAGATGTCCACGGGCGACGGTATTCTTACTTGACATCAAACGAACCGCCCGCTCGCTTTGACGAACTCCACACGATCACGATTGTCAGTGCGGAAGGGGTTGTTTATTAAGTCCCAACTATCACTGCGACTTGAAGGTCTAATGTAGTGAGTTTTTCTCATAGAAAAAACGCTAAAAAACCACCCACCCCTCCATTCCGCAGACTACCCCGAGTTCAGCCTCCCGCCGTTGGACGTGCAGATCAAGCAGGAGCCCGGCGAGGACGAGAACAAATACAACCCGGAAGACGCCAACGGAGACCACTACGATTACTGAACGCCCCCTCACCCCACTCCACCCTACTCACCCCCTCACCAGCGTCCGTCCATTCTCCCCACACCTATACTCCGCACCTAAATTCCCCTTCTACACTCCTCGCCCCCATCCCGATCCAAATCCATCTCCATCTCCTCTTCTCACTCTCTTCAAGTACTTCCATAGATGGTGCCGTTCGCTGCTGTCAAGGTTCACGTGCCCTTTCGCTAGAGAGATGCATGATTGCGCGAAGTATCACTTCTCGTTCTCCAAAGTAGATGAGAGGCACGGGGGATACCTAGCCGACTCTACTTTGGTAGTGAGTTTTGCGACCTAACGATGCTGATAAATTACCCTTACAGTAGTACCGTCGTTTTTTGTCCCATATTATATCCCATATTCCTTTAACCCTGCGCTACTGACAGAATTGACGAGATAGATTAGCTAATGGACTCTGAATGATGACCAGTTTTACTTTGTAAATATGATTTACATAGACATATTATATATAGTGACAATTCGTCGGTAAAATTGATCGGTTGACAGCCCTCTTCGTACAGGCATTTGAGTATTGGAGGCGTTTGAGTGTGTATTGTTCCGAGTGTCAGTTTTGACAGTGTCAAGGGTATTGGATGTCACTTGGATTCAAGTGTCAGTGTATTTTTGACACTTGACAGCGATTGTCAGTGTCACTGGTGCGTATGGACTTAGCGTTACTCGTATGACATGAATAAAAACATCGATTTTCTGACTCTTTTTTGTTTTATTTTCCTCCTTGAAACTTCGAATGATCTAAGTTTTCTTTTATTTTAGAGTACCTTTGAAGTTTTTTTGCCTCAGTTGAGTGACATCTAATGCAGTTTACCGGAGAGTTTTCACCATCATCATAATCATCATTTCGGCTGCAAATGCATTAAATTTAATTCGTTAAACGTTATATACGACAGATTGGTCCGTTTTCCGTCAAAGTTAACTTTGTGAAATACCAAGTCTTACATCACAGACCGATCCAAGCGAGCGTTAAACAGTCTAGTGCAATAGAGCAAAGAACTATTGGCACGGAACCCCTCGCGCGCGGGTCCGACTCGCGCTTGACCGGTTTTTATGTACGCCAACGCGAGCCACGAGCTTCGGGCCGAAATGAAACAGGTCTGCAGCGTTCATATGTATTTGACGAGGGCCACAATCAAGAAGACCAGGCAAGCGATCATCCCCACGCAGGTGAGCAGCCACATGAGCGGGTGCAGGTTCCTCCCCAGCCAGCCGTCCTGGCCCCGCAGCGGCCCGCGCAGCCTGAACGGAGGCGCCGCCCCCTGCCGGCGAACACACATGTGGAAAGTGGCAGACGAGCTGGCGGTTCACCTGATGTTAAGTGATGACGGACATTTGCTACACCGGTCGCGGATGTGTTGCCACCTTTTAACAACGTGGACCCCGGCTACCTCACTCAGCATAAGAAACGCAGAAGTGTAACACTTCTACTTTACCCCGGTCTTCTGTGAGGTCGTGGTACTTATCCGGACGGACCCGCCCTACCACGTAAATCTCTTGTATTTACGGCAATTACACATGGTACAATGAAACCAATTTTACGTAACAAGATTAATAAATGAAAAACTGACGGTAGCCCGGGTTAACTACGCCGTTCACGCCCGGTTTCTGAAACGCTGATCGTCGTAGATGTCAACTAATCAGCTGTCAAATGGCTATTCAAATGTCATTTGAGTTGCCAAAAGGATGATTAAAATCTGCAGAGAGTTGCAATCTAATTACACCAATTGCTGTGATTTGGGCTCCTCAGTTTCTGTGCACGTCATGTGTGTCATATCTATCACGTATTTGTATATAATATCATTGGGGCAGGCCCGTCTGAGGAATTGCTACGGCCTCACAGAAGATCGGCGTGAAGTGGAAATATTAAACTTTCGCATTTCGTCTGGTTTGCAGGATAACCGGAGCCAAATTTTAACGGTTGTCAATGCAACAGCAAGCCATCGGGTGTTGTAGACGACAATATAATTTAACATCAAGTGAACCGCCTGCTCGCTTGAACTTTTCAGATAAAAAAACATCTGCTTTATGGCCCGCGATCACTTCTAAGCAGCCATAGACAACATGTCGATGGTGAAGCTAAATTTGGTCAATGGCTTGTATTTCATAACACGCTTTTAGTGACTTAGTATGGATGTAACGGAATCTTCGTACCTACGTGATTCTGACCCAATTTGAAACATCAAATTCAATTAAAACTATATGATAGTTTGCCCCATTATCCTGATCAGACTTTTTGTTTTGTGCCGTGTTAAAAAATGTTTTAACAAAACGGGCTTTTTAGTCAGCAGGACTAAAAAATAGAAAAAAAATTATAGTTAAAAAAACACGCTTTGGTAGATAACTGAACTAAAAAATAGAAGGAAATTTTCAATAAATTTTATTGTTATTAAGAAAAGAAATCATTTTATCGTAGAAAAGTGTGACTTGTAATATAGTGCTTTCCCGTCTCCAATTTACTTGACATGACAAGCCAATAACTTTTTGTAATGTTCATATTCAGAAAATGTTTGCCACATTTGAAACTGCGCGTCTGAAGTGAATATCGGACGCGATAGTACGGAAAGAAGTTTTACTATAACGCTCTCACAGCGCTCATAAAATGCTCTCGTATAAAAATCAGGCTCATTACAGACTTGTCGCGTACTAATCGCAGGTTTTGATCACATGTACGCTAGTTGCATTTTTCTCTTTTGGTCGGAATGTCTAATTTTTTTCATGTGAGGTAAGCGAGCCGGCGGTTCACCTGATGGTAAATGTTATCCGCTGCCCATGGACATTTGCAACACTGATGCAGATTTGAATCCAAGCAGCGGAGTAATCAATATATAATAATGTGTAGATAAATCGTTGATAAAATATTAGTTATAAAATAAGAGGTACAAATTTTATAAAATGAGTTGGTACTTCTAATTGCTAATTTGATAGTCGGTGATAAATGTAACGCGCATTTGCGCCTCAATCGATATAATCCAACAGCTCGACAACAAATATGGCGATGAGTAGAACAACGATCAGAGCGATCCCAGCCAACACGAGATAGGGGTAACGCTCTACGGCCGATTTTCTGTTACATTGGAGGTTCACGACGAGCGTAGAATTGTCCTGCCGAGTTCAACTGCTTCAGGTCTACGGACTGTCAGTATATTGCTGCGGAGTCACAATGGTGTTGCCAAGGCGCTGCCCCGGCTAGGCACCGTTAAGATGGCGCTCAATCGGGGCAGCGTGACTCTCTTAGACCGGCGGTTTTCAGCAAATTTTAATTCTAAGGTGTTTCGTATTATGAAAATTTGTTTAAGACAAGCTATGCAACTGTTCCTATAGAATACCGCTACCCGCTGAAGTTGTGGGTGTTTATAGGGGGTAATCACTTACAACAGGCAACGCTATTTTGGTTAAAATTGATTGACATGGATTATGGACATAATTTCTGGCCAAATCTAATCTGTTTTATGGGAAGATAATTTCTGTACTCCAAAACATGAGCTCTGACATTTATTTTAGCACCACCGTAACAAACCAACGATGATGACATTATTTGGATTTCCTTCATTAAACAACTTCTAGGGAGCTTACTGAACAGTTGTGGAATGTGAAACGCTTCGAAAGTAGAAGCACCGACCCCGTTTGAACACAAACGTCATATTGCTAATCTAATTACTATTAAACGTATAGGTGTAAAACGCTAACCTTCGTGGTGTTTGGCATTCGGCCTTGTGTTTTCGCCTGCTCCATGACGGATTGATTAAATAGAGGTCCTTGAATAACAGTTTAATGAATTAATTTATTAGAACTAAAACCAGCAGATAACGTAGTGGTGAGACAATAGAATACTGACGTTGCGTTAGCGGGTCGGCTCCGTTGTGTAAATAGTGTCATAGCATAACAAAAGGCATAAAATAAATTGATGGATGCTTTTGATAAGTAAGGTAATATATGTGTACCGTAACAAAAACTTTAAAGACAAGTGCAAATGTGTTAAAACTGTTTAAAACGATACATCTATATTACCTTACTGCCTCCTCGTTGGCAAGGGCTGCCACTTCAGTCGGGTCGGGTGAAACGCTCGATTGTTTGCTGTTTTCTCCACAATAATGTTTATGTGTAACCAGCTGCCGCCGGCGGTCTTTCCGAACCGTTATGACCTGGGAACCTTCAAGAAGAGAGTATACTCTTTCCTAACGGCCGACCACGCATTTGTAAGCCCTCCGAGGTTGCAAATGTACATGGGCCACTTACCATTACACTCCTGCCCATTTACCCCTATTTTCCATTAAAAAGAGCCTTATTATTCACTCACAATTATGCGCATTAGCTTGCTTTACGCAGATTTAGAGTTAAGCTATTGCAAGTCCGTGACCGTTACTTCTTGCTTCTCTTTCTTCTTTCAAAGGACTTTTGCTCTTTGAGTAGGCTCAATGAGAATTTGCAAGATGTATCTTTTTATTTTTCTTTAAATCTACGTGTTTGATAGCTAAGGGCGCTCGCTTTCAATTAATTATACTCTAGCAACTTAAGTTCAAATCTCGGTGCAAGCACCAATGAAATTGTTAATTTTAAGTGCTGACTTATCACGTGCTCTGCTGCAGAAGGAAAACATCCCAACCCAACAATAATACGATGTGTATCGGTTGACGAGGTTAACAATCATATTAGTCTAAAAATAGCGCTGAGATTTTATCATCAGGGTCTTCAATCTTCATACATATTACACGGTAATTTTGGCGGTATAGAATTAATACGCATTTCAGTCCAAATATAGCATTCCGTATATACAAAGTACTCTGTGGATTTAATCGATGCGTAGATTAAACGAAGTATTGTTAGGGTCCCAAAAAATCGGTGCACTATAAAATTTTTGAAAAAAACGCATCAGTATTTATTATTGACTCTTTTATCCTGTTAAAACCAAACAAAAAGTCTGCCGGTATAAAATTGCGGTTTAACAAACAAGTTTAACTTACCAACAGTTGATATTTATCCGTTTATAACATCATAGTATTATTCGAAATAAACATAATTTCGACATGGGGTTCAATAATATAGCAGTTTAATTTGAATTGAGACATATGTCTTCTGTCAATTTAGAACTAATTGACATATATGTCAATGGAGGAATGACATAACCGAGCAGTTTGTTAATGTGTTAAATTTTTAAAAAAAGATTCGTTATGTATATATTCTGTTTGTTCCACACATTGCGTCATTGTAATGCGTTAAGATTTTCGTCGGTGTGGTAATCAGCCGTTTAGCTCAGTGGCTAGAGCGTCAGGCCGCGAATGCCGAAGACGTGGGTTCGATTCCCACAGCGGCGACAATCTTTTCGCACTTTTTCTACATATTTTAATGTTCAATCTTAAGTGCAAAGAATAGCACTATAAACAATTTAAATTTTTACCTTTCATTCCAATCAAAAAAATTCTCTACCAATTTCATTTAATGTCTTTTTCACAATGAGTATTGCCACAAGGATAACATTTTTTAATTATTTTTCTTTTATTACGCTAAAGAAATATAACTGCCTATACCTAAGAAAGAAGATATATTATGGCAGTGATTCTCAACCACTGTGCCGCGGCACTTTTGTGTGCCGCGAAATTTCAAGTGTGCCGCCAAATTTTGCAAATATATAATAATGTTAACATTATTAAATTATATAATTTAAAGAAAAATATTTATTGGCATTATCCAACATTAAAATTAAAAAAAGATCAAGATTGTTAAATGTAGAAGACGATATGAGAGTAGCATTGTCATTTTTACGACCAAATATAAATGAAATTATCAAAAAAACATCAAGCTCAAATTTCGCATTAAAAATATTTTTATTATGTAATTGTAATGTCCATGTCACGCCTATACCGGTTGTCGTTGGGAGCACTGAGCTCGAAGTTGTTGACGAGTACGTTTACCTAGGACAGTTAGTCCGGCTAGGTAAGTCCAACTTCGACGCAGAGGTCAATCGGCGAATCCAACTCGGATGGGCAGCGTTCGGGAAACTTCGGAAAATCTTCTCGTCGAATATACCTCAATGTTTGAAGACTAAAGTCTTCAATCAATGTGTGTTGCCAGTGATGACCTACGGAACCGAGACGTGGTCCTTCACTGCTGGCCGTATGAGGAAGCTCAAAGTCGCTCAGCGAGCTATGGAGCGGGCTATGCTCGGTATTTCTCTGCGTGATAGAGTTCGTAACGAAGACATCCGCAGTAGAACTAAGATAACCGATATAGCTCAGAGGATTAGCAAGCTGAAGTGGCGATGGGCCGGCCATATAGCTCGTAGAACCGATAACCGTTGGGGAAGAAAGGTTCTCGAGTGGCAGCCTAGTACTGCCATCGCAGTGTGGGACGACCCACTAGATGGAGTGACGACCTGTGCAAGTGTGCGGGAAGTCAATGGATGCAGGTGGCTCGTGTTCAGCAGTGGACTCAAACAGGCTGAAATGATGATGATGATGAATTGTAATTAATCCCTTAATAAACGTTTAGTTATTATTGTAGTATATATTAGTTTATTTCGTATATTTAAAAATTTTGTCATAAACTATTTATGCAGTGTGTTGTAGTAAGTAAATAATTTTTATCTTTTTCTTTGTGTGCCGCCAAATTTTGCAAATATATAATAATGTTAACATTATTAAATTATATAATTTAAAGAAAAATATTTATTGGCATTATCCAACATTAAAATTAAAAAAAGATCAAGATTGTTAAATGTAGAAGACGATATGAGAGTAGCATTGTCATTTTTACGACCAAATATAAATGAAATTATCAAAAAAAAACATCAAGCTCAAATTTCGCATTAAAAAATATTTTTATTATGTAATTGTAATGTCCATGTCACGCCTATACCGGTTGTCGTTGGGAGCACTGAGCTCGAAGTTGTTGACGAGTACGTTTACCTAGGACAGTTAGTCCGGCTAGGTAAGTCCAACTTCGACGCAGAGGTCAATCGGCGAATCCAACTCGGATGGGCAGCGTTCGGGAAACTTCGGCAAATATTCTCGTCGAATATACCTCAATGTTTGAAGACTAAAGTCTTCAATCAATGTGTGTTGCCAGTGATGACCTACGGAACCGAGACGTGGTCCTTCACTGCTGGCCGTATGAGGAAGCTCAAAGTCGCTCAGCGAGCTATGGAGCGGGCTATGCTCGGTATTTCTCTGCGTGATAGAGTTCGTAACGAAGACATCCGCAGTAGAACTAAGATAACCGATATAGCTCAGAGGATTAGCAAGCTGAAGTGGCGATGGGCCGGCCATATAGCTCGTAGAACCGATAACCGTTGGGGAAGAAAGGTTCTCGAGTGGCAGCCTAGTACTGCCATCGCAGTGTGGGGACGACCCACTAGATGGAGTGACGACCTGTGGAAATGTGCCCGAGGTCGATGGATGCAGGTGGCTCAGTGTTCAGCAGTGGACTCAAACAGGCTGAAATGATGATGATGATGAATTGTGTAATTAATCCCTTAATAAACGTTTAGTTATTATTGTAGTATATATTAGTTTATTTCGTATATTTAAAAATTTTGTCATAAACTATTTATGCAGTGTGTTGTAGTAAGTAAATAATTTTTATCTTTTTCTTTGTGTGCCGCCAAATTTTGAAATCGTTTAATATGTGCCGCAACAAAAAAAAGGTTGAGAATCACTGTATTATGGAATAAAACACATCAAAGGCATAAAATTTATTTTAATCTGAAAAAATATAAACTGGCAACAGTTCGGCAAGTTATTAACATGTTCATTAAACTTTATTAAAAGTTAACTAAGGTACTTTGGTAATTAATTCCGTGGCATCAAGTTCGATGGTCCATCGAGAAATTTGTCACTTACAATTCGTCAAAGCCTTTTTGAATTAAAAAAAATCTAAGCACATTAAAAATTTTACTTCTATCCTGAAGGTGGGAAATAGAACACAATGTCACGAAACTGCTAACAATTGACAAATTAAACAAAAATAAAACTTGAGTCGTATTTTAAAACAAATCAACACTTAATAAACAAAACAACAAATAAGTTATCGACCTTATTGTCAATAATTACTAAATTATTTTATACTTTATAGAAAAAAACTGCTTTAAATTTTGAATTTGAATCTATCTAAATCTACAATAATTTCTACGGTACAAATATTGTACGAGCTTTAAAGAGAAAATTACTATATATAGTCTAGTGTAATTTGGAGTACCCCAAGGTTTATAATTAAGGCCTCGATTATTTTGGTTTTATGTATCATCCAAAGTTTGATTGATTTTTCTTTTAGGTTAACGTAAATATTTTACTGTCACGAGAGATTAGAAAATTCCTAGGCAAATTGAATTTGGAACAACAGTGAGATTTAAAATCGATATTGTTTGCACGTTTAAAGCTGATACAAATAGAGCGGTGAAAGCAAGCCCTTCGTACAAAAATGGTATTTCCTAAATAAACATAAATGACTCCGTGGCGCAGTTGCCAAGGTATTGGCTTCGGCGTCGGGGGTCGTGGGTTCGATTCCCACACGGGACAACTATTTGTGTGACCCACAGATAGTTGTTTCGCATCTGGGTGTTTTTCCGCGTGCAATTTATGTTTGTAAAACGACCTTTACAACACAGGATAATATTATCCTAAAGTAAGGGCAGTGTTTTTCAAAAAAATAAATAAATAAATAAATAAACATATATTATTATCAAAAGGGTATTGGTGTCTTAACATGGGCAGGCTCGTCCGGGTAAGAACCACGACCTCACAGAAGACCCGCGTAAAGTGGAAGTATAATACTTTCGCGTTTCGTCTGGTGTGTGAGGTGGCCGGAGCCCAATTCTCAAAAAGGTTATCAACGTGCCTACAAACCCTCGGGTGTAGCAGATGTCAATGGGCAGCGGTATTCACTTAACATCAGGTGAACCGCCTGCTCGCTTAGCAACTTTTGACATAAAAAAAACTAATTATCGTGCCAAATCTGACATACGTGCAAATCTTCCTAATGACGCTTTCAATACTTCGAAAACACTACTGGAATGGAGGAACAGAAGCTTGAAGGGACGCTTGAACACCTAAATTGACAAATTTAACAAAATTAGAAAAGCTCAGGTGATTTTGCACATGTCGTTCGTATCTTCGGTTGCTTTCTGCTTCTTGTCCGTCTGCCCGTCCGTCTGTGGATATTTTATAATTAAGCAAGGCTATTTCCGAAGCGGTAGTAGTATTTTGGCAATCGACAAGTAAGTGTAATGCTTTTGTATTGAATGAAAACATTTAAATTTGAGTGCAGATCGAGGGGTAGAAAAGACAGTGGCTTACTGATGACGGCGCATTGAGTGTCGTAGAGGGCGAGGGTCCTCTACGCCGTAGAAGCCGCGCTAGGCCTACGCGCTTCTCCGCACATTGTTTCACGTCCTTTACACAAAAAAAAATCTCTGAAAGACTGAAAGATTCTTTTTTCTTTTATTAAAGCGTTGCTCTTATTGTAGGATAACTTTGTCCTGTGTTGTAAGAGCGTTTTCCAAACATAAATTCCACGTGCACAAACACCCAGATCCGAATTATGTGTGGGTTAGAAAAACAGTTGTCTTTTGTGGGAATCGAGTTCAGGACTCCCGGATCCGAAGCCAATGCCTTGGCAATTGTGCCACGGAGTATCGAAAGCGTTAAGCTAATGTAACATTTTAGGGGAATGAAGTTCTACAAACTATAGTTCTAATAGTTCTCTGACAACGCTCAGCAGCATCTCAGACTGTACTTTTTATGTGAAAATGTGACATCATCATCGTCGAAGCGAACTTTGTCATTTTCCAACTTCGAAACTGCTCCCTAGTGATAAAGTCTTTTGCATTTTATTTTTTTTATATGAGAGAATGGCAAACGAGCTGGCGGTTCAACTATGTTAAGTGATAACCGCCGCCCATTGACACTTGCAACACCCGTAGGATTGCAGATGCACGGTGGTAGGGCCACGGCCTCGGCCGTTGCACGTATGGGCAGATCTGTCCGGGTAAGTACCACGGGTAAGTACCTCACAGAAGACCGGCGTGAAGTGGAAGTATAATACTTTCGCGTTTCATCTGGTGAGTGAGGTGGCCGGAGCCCATTTTTCAAAAGGCTGTCAACGTATCTGTAACCCTCGAGTGTAGCAGATGTTCATGGGCGGCGGTATTCACTTAACATGAGGTGAACCGTCTGCTCCCTTGGAAAATTTTCAAGTAAAAACGAAAAAGATACCTTTTAATAAAGTTGGCCCCGGCTACCTGACTCACCAGACGAAACGCAGAAGTTTAACACTTGCACTTCGGTGTTAAAAGTATCCCTGCGTGGCGGTTATCACTTAACATCAGGTGAAACGACTTTTAAAAATGAGATGCAAAGACTTTCATGGATCTCAGTGCGGATTTTTTCACTAGATACGAGTGATTCAACAGGAAGGTCTATATGTATAATACATTTCGCCCGTGCGAAGCCGGGGCGGGTCGCTAGTATCTCATATAGACACTGACCTTTATGCTACAGGTGCATTAAAAAAACTTAGCTAAGGCGCGATATACATCACCAAACTTCAAATCGTCTACCGTGCACGTCTTGGAGTGCATGCTGTATACTGAACTATTTGTGTGACCCACAGATAGTTGATTCGCATCTCGGTGTTTGTCCGCGTGAAATTTATGTATGTAAAAGGTCCTTACAACACAGGGTGATGTTATCCTAGAGTACGGGCAAGGATTTTTAACAAAAAAAAAAAGAAAAAGAACCCAAATCGGCAAATGACGTCATCTAAAAAGCTCTAGCCCTACCTCATTGGAGTCGTCTCTGGTCTCTTCTCCATTCATCTCCTGCGGCTGCTGATCCAGAACTGAAATAGAAGGACACGCGTTTCACATGGTCAATGAGCCACTGACCCAATTCCGAGCAATCGCCAGAGGTAAACGGCACAAGAGGATGATCTAGAGAAGTTAGGGATCCGTAGGTACCCAATGGGTAAAATGGGAACCTATTGCTAAGACTCCGCTGTCTGTCTGTCTAACACCAGGTTGTATCTCATGGACCGTGATAGTTGGACAGTTGGAATTTTCACAGATGGTGTATTTCTGTTGCCGCTACAACAACAGATACTAAACAAGCCCATTTTTTTATTAACAAAAAACAAAAACGATTTCAAATATCTCGCTCTGTATTCATTTTATAATTGTTTTTCAGGAGTTTCCATAATTATCTCCGGAACCCAAGATCCGATGCCAATGAAATTAATATGCGACCACATGGGAAGCACCAGCTTTCAAATAAAAAAAGAATCCTAAACATCCGTTCATTCAGTCTAAAGTTCTGTCTCAACATAAAAAAAAATCCCGTTAAATTGACAACCTCCTTCTTTTTTGAAATCGGTTGAAAACAGAATAAAAAAGTAGTTAAGTGGGGCTCGCATAAAACAGATTTATTTTGACGTTTTCATTGATAATGAATGATACGGAAACCTTCATCCGCGAGTCCGACTCGCAATTGGCCGGTCTTTTTTTAAGTTACCAACGCCGAAGCGTAAACAAATTGAAACTTTTCGCAAGCGTCAAGTTGACGCGACAATCATTTCTCACACTTCATATTCTGGCAAATAGTTTCGTGTGGAATTTTGTAACTCTGAAATGACATTTCTTCTCGAGGCTAAAAAATAAACTATTTTGTTTTTTAGCCTCGAAAAGGTTAGGTTTACTTTAGTTTTAACTCCATTTTTTTTAGTTTTTGAAACTGTTAATTATAAGGGTAATGTTAGAGTTAAACACCGTATAACGCCAAGCGATTCCATTACTTATTGCAAGAGATCTAAGACGAGGCAGTTTCGAAGATGCATATTCCTCTCTCGTCCAACCAATGTCCATACCTGGTGGGATATCTTCTCGCCCGTTAATGCTGGGGCTGGGTTCTTTGGCCGGTTCGCCCTTGAGGTGTCTCTTGATCTCCTCTGCCCTCTCCATGTACCTAGGAACGTTGATTTTCAAGTTTCTATATCTTTATAAAATATACAGCGTGTCGCTACCACCGCGACAATAAATGAACACACATATAGAGGATAACTTTTTAAAATTGTATCAAAAATTTACATTCTTCAAACATCAATATTTACAGAGTTATTAGATTTTCCAAAACAAAGCATTTTAGAACACCCTTAAGTATAAAACTGTAACGTAAAGTTCATTTGTAAAGGTCACAAAGCATATGAATGGGTTGAATGAATTTAAAAGAGACACAACATAGTGTTAGAAGGAGAGGCTTGTAATGCGACGCTGTGGCGCGAATTGTATAGGATGTTACAAATTTTGTTTCTTTTTTACTTAATTAGTTTGTTTGAAAAATATATTTTTTTTAATTATGGATTTTGTTTAACCTTAATATTTTTTTATGATTATTGGCAAGTAGCGTTAGACGTGTGTTCATTTACTGTCGCGATGGTAACGACACGCTGTAGAAGCATTCCACTTATAGATTGTCAAAACACACAATACTTTTAGCATTATTAGGCAAGGGAATATGTTTGACAACGTATTACAATCCACTTAAAAAGAGTGGAGCGACCGGTGCACCTTTTAAAAGATTGCGACCACCTTGGTGTCGTAAATGTCCACAAAGTACGGTATATGCCTATACATGTCCCACTGCTGGGCAAAGGCCTCCTCCGTACAGAGGGAATCTGGACCAAGTCCACCACACGACCCTACCGTGGAATAAATAATTAGTAAATAAATATTTTAGGAAACATTTTTACACAATGTTCTCAGTCCCAAACTAAACAATGCTTGTACTATGGGTACTGGATAACTGTTAAACATATTTAAACACAGTTTTCTTTTTGAAAAATATACATATTATAAATAAACACTCAGACACTAGAACTATGTTCATCTCGTTGACACTATGTGCATCGCACAATATTTCTCCAGTTGTGGGGATCGAACCCACACCCTCTGGCGCAGGAGGCAGGTACACTACCCACTAAGCCATTCGGGTCATCATCATAATGTATCAATTATTATGTAAAATTCGACGTTCCATAAGAAAGCGCGAGCGTCCATTTGAATAAAGATATTTGGAGACCTGGAGAGCTTGGCCGCCAGGGCCGCCCTGCGCAGGGCGTCGGGCTCGGCCGCGGCCGCGGGCAGCAAGTAGCGCAGCGCCTCCCCGTAGGCCTCCAGGGCTTCGGCGAGCCGCCCCTCGGCCTCCGCCCCCACCGCGCCCCTCATTAGCCCCACCGCCTGCGCCCCCAAAATTACTGCGCGCTGAGTTGCGCAGCCAACACATTGGCAACTGCGCAACTCGCGGCACGGGACGAAATTAAAGCATTGCTTCAAATGATAAAAAAAAAACAATGTAGATAAAAGACGTTAAGATTTTCGTCGCTGTGATAACTGTACTATGGTATGTGGAGATTTTTTTCTTCTTTTGTTACGCTAAAGAAGTATAACTTATTAAGTGTGAACATGTATGTGTAAGAAAGCTATTGTTAGCGCTGAACTATACAGGGTGATTTTTAAATGAAGTACATACTTTGACATAATGTTAATTTAGCATACCATAATTCAAAAAAAACTTATATATTATTTGGACAAGAAATAACCTGAAAAATATCAATTGAAATGTTGTTTGTTTATTCCCGTTAAGAGTGGTCACCCTATTGATAAGCGGTTTAGTAATTGTATTGAAACGGTAAGGCAGGAATTCCTTAGGGTGTCCATAATGTTTGAAAAAATTAAAACAAAATCTTACAAAAAAATGAGATCACAAGTACGTACCAGATTCAGATTTAGAATCAAATTCTGCACATGCTCTGTTAAAATGTCCGTCGTCTATAAAATCTACTGTTACGAATTGAAATACTGTTTCTATTTACACTCTGGTACATTGAAATATTCACACACTCACACTGAGCTATCAGAGCCGTGATAGCTCAGTGTCCGGGCGCTCGCCTTTATTTCAATATATACTCGAGCAATCTGAGTTCGATCCCCGGTGCCGGCACCAATGAAGTTTTTAACTTTAAGTGCTGAATTATCACGTGCTCCGCGGTGAAGGAAAACATCGTGAGGAAACCTGCATATTTCCGAAATAATAACAAAAAATGTATTTCGAAAATATGTGAAGTCCGCCAATCCGCAGTGGGGCCGCGTGGTGGACTATGCCCTGATACCCTCTATATAGAGGAGGCCTTTGCCCAGCAGTGGGACATGTATAGGCTGCTACTTACATTGAAATATTACTGACCTTCTCGTAATTCTCTTTCGAGGGCATGTGCTCCAGATCCAGGTACTCGTGGGCGAAGAACTCCTCGTAGCTGATCCTCCTGTCAGGGTCGTGTTGCAGGAGCCTACTGAGGAGGTCCTGGCAACCTGGCGATATCGAGGATTTGGGGGGCAGCTACGGGACAAGTGGGTCAGGTCAGGGTTAGGGATGTCGAAAAGTTATCGACATATCGATATTTTTTATTTTACACATCGATATTTTCAGCCGACATATTTAGTTCCGACGTATCGACATATCGATACAAAAAGGCAAAATCGAAAATAGTATCAAAAACGTTATTTTTTTTAAATTCGAATCCGACACAAAGTTTGTAGATGTCAAATGTTGAATGCTTGATGCTTCCCTTTTATTTGGACAATGGACAATTTCTAGGACCTAAAGAGTAAAATACGTCAAGGCCGATATTGATATTTTTTAAAATATCGATGTATCGATATATTCCTTCATTTTCGACATCCCTAGTCAGGGTATATAATACTGCGTGCGGAAAGTGGCCGTGCTATAAATTTATCCTTCGAACACTTGATAAGCTACCCTAATGGCAAGGGCCTATAATGTCGAAGAACATATTGAGGACAGGGATGTTTAGAAATTAGTTTCATTTTGCACTTGCTGGTCCCATTAATGATTATATTATATATAGATTTGGTTACTGCATATAGAGTTTTAACGTAATCATTACGGAGCTAATGTCAAATACCTATCACTAGTAACCAAATGTACACAGATAAATATCATAAAATATTGAAACCGGCCGATAGAGAGGTTTGTCGGCAAACGCACAACCTATCCAATCTTAGGGATGTCCATGTGGTCCTCCACAACTGAACCGCTCGTAATCGAGAAATTTAACTAAGATCAAAATTGAACCATGATTCAAAAGAGATAGCAAAACGTCACGATAATCTGAAAGCTGCTCACCTCGATGGGAGCCTGCCTCTGGATCTTGTCCACCAGCTCTTTGAAGGTGGCGGAGGAGTAAGGGGCTCGTCCGAAGAGACATTCATACAGGATCACACCTGGAGAGGAGAGGCGATGGAGGAAGACTTGCAGGTCCAGCATTTAATTTTTTTATGTGAAATGCTGCCAAGCGAGCAGGCGTTTCACTTGATGTTAAGTGAATACCACCGCCCATGGACATCTGCTACACCCGAGGGTTGCAAAAGCGTTGACAACCTGTTGAAAATTAAGCTCTGGCCACCTCACTCACCAGATGAGAAGCGAAAGTTTTATACATCCACTTTACGCCGGTCTTCCGTGAGGTCGTGGTACTTACCCGGACGAGCCTGGCCATTCGTGCAACAGCCGAGCCTGATGCGTGGCCCTACCACAATTTCATTCTCTGTTATGCCCTGGATTATTTTGCTACGTCACTCTACGGAATAGGAACAAGGGTGGCAAGGGATCATCATAATGTCGAAGAATATGTCGAGGGCCACGCAACAGACTTCCGACCTCACAGAAGACCGGCGTGAGGTGGAAGTGTTACACTTCCGCTTTTTTTTTCCGGTGAGTGAGGTAACAGGAGCCCACTCTATTAAAAGGTGACAGGTCATCTGCAATCCTACGGGTATTGTAAATGTCCACGGGCTGCGGTTATCAGTTGACATCAGGTGAGCCCTCAGCTCGCTTGCCATTTCTTACATAAAATAAGCAAGTGATGTTCTGAAATGGCATCTGCCCTGGGAGAGCGTCGTGGGAGAGCAGTGGCATGTGGCAAGTGTATGGTTATTAGCTGCGTGTTGCAGTGTGTGGTAAGCGGAAGTGTCGAGTGGGGTTGCTTTGAAGCGATTTTAAATAAGAAGTTTTCTAGTCCCAAACTAAGCAACGCTTGTAGTATGGGTATTGGATAATCGATAAACATATTAAAACGTACTTTTCTATTGCAAATAAATATATATTATACATATATAAACACCCAGACACTGGAAAACACTGTGTTCTCATGAACTTGTGATACAATGGTGTGATGAACATAGTGTTTTTTGATCGTGTGTTTGATTGACAACAAAATATGGATGGAATATTTTTGTGGTAGTAGTGGGGATCGAACCCACACCCTGGTGCAAGGGGCAGGTTCACTACCCACTGCGCCAATCGGGTCGTCAATTGTGGTGAGGGTTGGTGAGGCGACTCACCGACGCTCCATAGGTCCACTCGCTCATCCCCCTCCCCCCTGAGCAGTTCCGGCGCCATGTAGAGGGGGGAGCCCCTGAGTCCCCTCGCATACCCGTTCTGCGCCAACTGCGCAAAACTGACGCACCGAGGGCGCCGTCCAATGATATTATATACAAATACGAGTTAGATACGGCACTGGTGCACCGAATTTGAGGCGCTAAAATTACGCAAATTGGTATGTTAGATTGCAATTCTATAGACTGCTATCTCTTTCCGTGTCATAAGATCTATATCATCTGTCATATTCGCTTGTATATGTCATATAATGTAAAGCGAAACAATTTTTAAACGAGAAACGATTTCTTTAAGAGCCGTGATAGCAGTGCCCGGGCGCTCGCCTTTAATTCGATTTACTCGAGCAACCCGAGTTCGATCCCGGCGGCGGCACCAATGAAATTGTTATTTTTAAGTGCTGAATTATCACGTGCTCGGCGGTGAAGGGAAACATCGAGAGGAAACGTGCATATTTTCGAAATAATAATAAAAAAACCGCCAATCCGCAATGGGATCGTGTGGTGGACTACGCCCTGATAGACTCTTTACACAGGAGGCCTTTGCCCAGTAGTGGGGCATTTATAGGCTGTTACTTTACATCTATATTAAAACATCATTGGCGCAATCACAATCGTGATCATCATTGTGACCGGCTTCATCATCGTCATCGCTTTCAATATCACTTAAACTCACACCAACTTCACCAGGAAGTAGCACGTCATCATTAAAGTCAGTTTTAAACTTATCTTCATTGATACCGATTTCGTCATCATTAAAGTCAGTTTTAAACTTATATTCATTGATACCGCTATCGTCATCATTAAAATCAGTTTTAAACTTATCATCATTATCATCACCGTTATCATCATTGATTTCGATGGCATCGTTTGCAATGTCAATATTATCATCAAGATTCGTTCCGCTAACCACGAAGTCTTCATCAGTATGACGTCATCATCATCTCTGTCTTAGTTAATACAGTTAACATTTTTACTGTGGTAGAGACGCGTGATAGCTTCGTTTGTTTCACGAATGGGCAGGTCAGCCCGGATAAGTACCACGACCTCACAGAAGACCGGCGTAAAGTGGATGTATAATACTTTCGCGATTCGTCTGCCGAGTGAGATAACTGGCGGTCACATTTTTAAACCAACGCATCAGCTTGTAAGTGCCGCAGATGTCCATGGGCGGCGGTATACAGTTAACATCGGGTGAACCGCCCTCTAGCTTGACAAATTTTCACATTAAAAATGTTTGACGACTGCTAGGTTTTCGCTTCGGCGTGGAGAGTCGTGGGTTCGATTCCCACACGGGTCAACTACTTGTATGACCCATGATAGTTGTTTCGCATTTGGGCGTTTGTCCGCGCGAAATTTATGTTTGTAAAACGTCCTAACAACACAGGTATTGTTATCCTAAAGTAAGGGCAATGTTAAAATTTTTAGAAAACGCACGAAAAGATTGTCGCCGCTGTGGGAATCGAACTTTTTCTACAAATTTTGATGTTTAGACTTACGTGCAGAGATTAGCAGTATAAAAAAATTAAATTTGTAAGGGCAATGTTTTAATAAAAATATCGATCGAAATATCGATGTTAATAGAAGACGATCGCTCACCCGAAATCCGCCACTTTGAGGGTGTACCTTCCGTCGGAGCCCTTGTGCAGGAGAAGGTTGTGAGGTTTCAGGTCCATGTGCACCACGCCTGGTTGTGGTCGAACAAACATAAAAATATATTTATAGACGACGGACATATTAACAGAGCATATGCAGAATTTGATTCTAAATCTGAATCTGGTACGTACTTGTGACCTCATTATTTTTTTTTTAAAGATTATTTTTAATTTTTTCAAACATTATGGACACCCTATTAGAAATTCCTGCCTTACCGTCTCAATACAATAACCTAGCCGCTGATTTCACTGTACCGTTGCTGTTCGCTGTTTGATTTTGTCTTACAACATTCAAAATATTTTCCTCTACTGCGTTATTAATATCACGTTTTCAAGTTATACTACATGCGTATACCTACAGACTGCCGTACTGAATGTAGGGTGACCACTCTTAACGGGATAAACAAACAATATTTGGTGTGGACCTGATTAAAGTGAGTGCTGGGACTCTGAAGGAACACTCTTCTCGCGCTAACAGGGTCGATATTGAAAGTAAGTTCTATCTAAGACAGACGACAGCAAGCGGAGTATTAGTAAATGGGTCCCGTTTTACCCATTGGGTACGGAACCCTAAGAGCCGTGATAGCTCATTGTCCGGGCTTTACTTCGATATACTAAAGCGACCTGAGTTCGAACCCCGGTGCCAGCACCAATGAAATTGTTAATTTAAGTGCTGACTTATCACGTGCTCCGCGGTAATGGGAAACATCGTGCGGATAACTGCATATTTTTGAAATAATAAAAAAAAATATATTTCGAAGATATGTGAAGTCCGCAGTGGGGCCGCGTGGTGGACCATGCCCCGATATCCTCTGTACAGAAGAGGCCTTTGCCCAGCAGTGAATCGACCGTCACCGATCGAATCCACCTTTTGTGTAGAAATCAATACAGGGTCAATAATAATCATCACACAAAGACACCAAGGGAACAGATACTTGCAAAAGAGAACCCTCACCTTTCTCCCTCAGGAACTTCAGAGCTGATGCCAACTGCTGCAGGAAGTATAACACCTGACACGGATAGAATACTCTCTGTTTAATTATAAAAAAGAATGATCTTGAATACTTATGTATTTATTTATTATACATATGCACACAACTATAATTACAGGCTGTAATGCGATAGTGTAGCTAAAAGTTGGACAACTAATGAAAAACTAACAATTCCATGAAACCAATCAAACACAGTAAGAATATTATAAAAAATTCATACTTATAATTTTATATTTCACATTTCATGTAATGGGATACTATGATAAAATCATTTCTGTGGCATGAGAACAGGTCAATTCTCAATTCATTCATTAAATTCAATATAATGATTTGAATGAATGAATATTTATTTAGTTTCAAAAAACACAGTTATGTTAACAATTAAAAGAGTAAATTACTAAGGCATGAACCCAAATAGGTATACTTGGTACCACCATATGGTACTTGGCACGATTTTCAATACATACGGATCAAATTTTCGTGGTGGACTATGCACTAATACCCTCTGTACATAGGCCTATGCCCAGCAGTGGGAGATGTATAGGCCATTACTGTCACTTGTAGCGGGCTTTACAATGTGGAGAAGTTCTCACCTTCTTCTCCGGAACGCGTCCGTAACGGTGGATATACTTCGAGAGATCTCCACCACAGCAATACTCCATTATTATGTAGATGCTCCTGCAAGTTTCCTTTACAATGAACTAAATATGTGCCATAAAAACAAACCTAGTCATTTACTTTATGTGTCAGTTATATTTGATACAATATGTTATTAATCCATTATGAGAGATGCGAGTGATTCACAACAGTATGTTATTTGTGCTATGTGTTGAAAAACAAATATGACCTGTCATCCCATGTGAACTCCTTCATCTGCACTATATGAGGGTGGGTGAGGGTTTTCAGCAGGCGGATCTCTGTGATCAGATTGTCCACAGCGGCACCAGAGTGCTTCACTCGGGACTTGTCCACGCATTTTATGGACGACCACAGACCTAGCGCCCACCTGACAGATGGAGAGTATGTGTTTGAATATATATGTAGTCTTCTAGTTAATATATTAGTCATAACTTAAGTGCTATTAAACTCTAATGAAGGTTAAAGGTATTTAGTTATTCAAATGAATTGACGGTTTCTTTGATTTACATGGCTATAAAACCTAAACTCTTCATGGGAATTTAGTGTTATGAGGCTTATAAGTAGACCATATTATTCTTGTTGTTTTTACATATGAAATAGCTGATAACTGTGACTTTGTGTTAATGACAAAACATCAAAAAGATAAGAACCCCTCTTCCCCAATTCCCACGGTAAGAAAACAATCGCCAAACATCTATATATATAAAAATGAATCCCTATTTTCCTTGGTCACGCCATCACGCGTGAACGGCTGGACCGATTTCACTTTTTTATAATTTGTTGTGTTTGTTATTATCAGAAGGTTCTTATGAAAGAAAAAATCTCAAAAATTGCCTGGAAAAGTCTTAAAGAACACTTTTCTATATTCCCATACAAAAGATTCGTAACAATACTTAAAAGTTATTTTGAACTATAATACCATACCATAAACTTTAAGTGTTAGTGGAGGGGTTCCGGGAAGGCAAAGCAAGTGAGTGACTGTGGTAAAATGTCACTTGACATGTAAACGTCTCTTTGCTGTGCATCACTATCACTATAAAACAAAGTCGTCCCGCTGTCTCTGTCCCTATGTATGCTTAGATCTTTAAAACTACACAACAGATCTTGATGCGTTTTTTTTACTAGATAGAGTGATTCAAGAGGAAGGTTCATATGTATAATACATTGCACCCAGGGAGCCGAAGCCGGGGAGGGTTGCTAATGTGCTTATAAAAATCATTGTTTCATAAAACTTGTATAACTCTATGTTTAATTAAGATATCACTAACTATTATTGAGATAAGGGCCAAGTACAAAAAGAAATAAAACTTGAAGAATTAATGGAAATCTACAAAGTATTTTTTCTGTGATGTATGCACAACGGCAGACCTCTACCATTTTATTTATACACAAGATTGGATTTTTCTGTCTCATGGATAAATTATTAGTTAATTATCGTAATACTCTTACGGTGTACATGTTATATGTGCCTCACTGCCTCAGCCAGATAGTTGTAGGAAGCCTATGCAGAAAGGCATAAACATTTGAGTACCAATAGACATACATTCGCCCAGCGGTGGGCGAACACACGCTGAAGAAGAAGAAGAAGACAACAATTGAGAATAACATGAGACAAATAAATTAATAATTAAGACAGATAAGAATCTGATAAGATTTCCATTTAAAATATGAAATGTCATAACTTGTAAACATGTTGGTCTAATATTCTTCTATTTAGGTCTTATTTTATATTTCATGAACTTAAACTGCTCAAGAAAAATCAGCAGAAGCATTTATTTCTTTGTTTGTTGTAGTTATTACTATATCAATAGCTAACTCACAGTATTTATCAAATTAAATAAAAAAGAAAATTTACTGCTATAATTTTCAGTATTTTTTTTGCAGATAGATGTGTGCTGCCTTGAACCGGGATAGTTGGCGCACTTTGGGGGAGACTCATGTTCAGCAGTAGACAGTGATTGGCTGATATTGTATTGTTTCATATGGAAATAATCTTTTAAGTTAATAATCTTGTAAGGGAGTACTTGTTATTTTAAGCATAATAAACTCATACTCTATTATACAGAAAGTTTAAAGCATTACTAATACGAGGATTTCCCATATAAGAAAGATTATGTTGGCAAAAACTAGGATAACTTTCAGCGTCATGGTTAAATAAACGTATGATATTAACGGATAGAGAGAAATTAAATTACGGAACTAATTTCCCAGGCATTAGTTAATGGCCCCAATAAAAGTCTTGTGTAAGGAATTTCGCTCTCGATGATAAGCGCAAGTAACATTATTTGTACAGTTTACAGAAGTCACGTACCTTTGTGAAGGCTTTGTAAACAGTTGAATAACTTCCAGAACCCAGCTTTTCCGTTACCACGTATCCTTCAATCTTTGGAAAAGACATAGCGGTTATAAAAGCACTTAAAATAAATTAACAGTCATTATTTCTTAAAAGTAACTAAAATAGACAAAACTTTGTGACATTGTTATGACATTACACTGACATTTCATCAAGCCTCAAGAAAGTAAATGACATATGGATTGACAATTACATTGTTTTAACTCTTTTTTTTGGATTTTATGGCCCGGTATCGAGGACTTTTATGCCAAAGTTGACTCGTTTTTCCATTGTCTATTACTACAGAACAAACGCTCTAAACCATAGTGCACAACATAAATCTAGGGCATTTCAAATATGATTTTTTTGTGTAAGTGTAGTTTTATATTAGGCTGGTGGCTTTCATAGTTTTGTCGAAAGGAAAGAACTCGATTCGAGTAGACGACAAATGGAAAAGAAGTCTGATTTAGGTCCTGAGTCTGACGGATGTTTAAATCAAACTCCGGCGCGATTGTGTTTTAATATACAATGTATGAATTGCTTAAGATCTTGTGATTGTTTAAACTTTCTTAAGCGGATATGTCAGTAAAACATCCCGTGTTCTTTATAGATTTTTTATGGGAAAAAAGCGGCAAACGAGCAGGAGGCTCACCTGATGGTAAGTGATCACCGCCACCCATGGACACCTATAACACCAAAGGGCTTACAAATGCGTTGCCGGCCTTTTAGGAAAGAGTATGCTCTTTTCTTGAAGGTTTCCAGGTCGTAACGGTATCATCGTATATTGACCAATTTGACTAAGGCTAACCGATAGCGCAGTATCTTTTATTATCGCAATGAAAATCTGTAATTCCGAACAGACCAAATAAAAAATTCCGGTTGAGATGTCGACAAGTAAAAACAAAAAATTAAAAACGTCACAGATGAGGCTGCGATTATCTCCGAAAACAATTTAAATATAAAATATATATAAATGACTTAGAACGCCATAGATGCATTGCTTTTTAACTATGAGTATTGAAGAATCGTTTAAATTTTTAAGTCTACTATAACTATTTAATTATTTAAATAAAATAAAACAAAATAAAACAAAACAAAATGTATTAGATTTACTCTTTCAAAGTTGTGTCACCAATCAGGAATCTCTATTGATGAGAAAATCCTACCCCTTGAGGATTCAACAGCATTTCTTGGAATAAGCGTTGACTCCAAGTTGCAATGGGGATTTCATGTAGATAAGTTAGCTAAGAAATTGAGCGCTGCCGTCTTTGCCATACGCAAAATCAGACAGCTAACTAATGAGGAAACTGCAAAATTAGTTTATTATGCTTATTTTCACAGCATAATGTCCTATGGTGTCTTACTTTGGGGTTCCGCATCCGGTCTAGACACGATATTTGTATTACAAAAGCAGGCTATACGGGCCGTCTATGGCTTGGGTCCACGTGAGTCGCTACGACAAATATTTAAGCAAATAAACGGTTTGACGCTCCCGTCGCTTTACATACTTGAGAACATCATGTATGTACGTAATAATATCCACCTTTTTACGAAAAAACAATCCACATCGCGTCGGGGCCGTGGTGACACTCTGGAAGTACCGAGGTTTAGATTGGCTAAAACCAGAAAGTCGTTTCTTGGAAGATGCATCAACTTTTATAATAAAATAGGTGACATCCACAAACAACTAAGTATAAACAATTTCAAACAATTTGTAAAAGCTACCTTAATGGCAAGGGCCTACTATAATATCCAAGAATACATAGAGGACAAGGATGTTTGGAAATGACTCTTGCTCTGCACTTGCAAGACCCCTGGCTGTTGCTGATTTTATACCCAAATAAGTGTGTATAATTGCATTAAAAAAAATATATATATATATATATATATATATAACAAAAAGAACAAGACCGCAGAGTTTCTTTCCGGTTCTTCTCTGTGCAGGTCTAGTTTAGTGAACCGGTGGTAGATTTTTTGTTGACGTTCAATAAGAGCTTAAGTTAGGCCTATATTGAATAAATATACTTTGACTTTGACTTTGACTTTTACCTATATAAGTACAAATTTAGTAAAAATTTAAATCAAATTAATATTAATAATACAATTTAAGTGTTAATTGTTATAATGACACGCTATAGTATTGTTAGCACTTAGTTAACAATTTGTTATTCTAAAATGGACTTTAAAACCTAAGCTAAATCAGAAAATCTGTTATTTTCTTTAGAAGTATTTTGCGCCGAATTTATATTTACTCTATGTCGTAGCAAAGCATTCTTTTGGTTTTAATGGGTCGTTTAAAATGACATCTCATTAACTGGACCTGCTTGAGGCATGGCATAAATTTAAAGCGACATCTCTATCTATATTGATGATATACTTTATCTTTACCGTTTTATGAATAGAAGCTTAATAGCCCTCTTTTACACAAGATATAACTTCTGTTTTTCGGACGGTATTTTTTGGCTAAGGCATAAAGAGCAAAATGTATAAAAAAGTAAAGGACACTGGAATATTCGGGAACATACCGCGAATTTCAATTATCGTCATGCCAACATTATCCTTATCCCCTCTAGTTGGGGTCGGTACATCATGTTGTAAGTGTTTTTGGGCTACGTTTTTAGGACCGGTCGCCTGCCTGACGTTCACCCCACCTACGGACAAACACTCAGAGAGGGAATAATTACCTGTAAAGTAAAGTAAAGTAACAGCCTATACATGTCCCACTGCTGGGCAAAGGCCTCCTCTATACAGAGGGTATCAGGGCATAGTCCACCACGCGGCCCCACTGTGGATTGGCGGGATTCACATATTTTCGAAATATATTTTTTTTGTTATTATTTTGAAAATATGCAGGTTTCCTCACGATATTTTCCTTCACCGCGGAGTACGTGATAAGTCAGCACTTAACAATTTCATTGGCAACGGCACCGGGGATCGAGCTCAGGTTGCTCCAGTATATTGAATTAAAGGCGAGCATCCGGACACTGAGCTATCATAGCTATATCAGATGTAACTGTCAATGTTTTCAGTAGCCGAGGCGCTCGGACCGTTGGTGTACAGTAGCTCAAAGGCAAAGCATATTAAACGTGTGTTTTTTGTGCATGCTTTTGTGTTTGTGCGCGGAACAAATGCAATTTAATTAAAATATCTGCATTCACGGACTTGTGTTAATTTTTATTTATTTAATCTTGATTGATAAACTTAAACAAAACAGGAAACAAAGGGCGGACTTAATGCACAAAGGCATTCTCTACGCCGTGTTTGTGATTTTGTGCGAGGAGTGTTTGTGCAGCAGTGTTTGTGTTTTGGTGCAGCAGTTACACGAACGGATGAACCGTCCAGGCAAGTACAACGCTGTGATTTGAAAGTATTATAATTTTACATTTTCCCATTTCTCTCTTTTTTAAACGTTGGAAATGCATTCCCAAAATTCACCTTTGCACGCAAAACAAGCCATGAAGGTTTTACTTCGCAAAAAAGTTGTTTCCCCAAGGGTTGCGGTGCCATATTGGGTTTATGATCCATCCGAGATGGGATGCGGAAATAGTTTTCTTTTTTTGTGGTTCCGTACCCAAAGAGTAAAACGGGACTCTATAACTAGGACTCCGCTGCCTGTCTGTCTGTCTGTCCGTCTGTCACTCATGAACCGAAATAGTTAGACAGTTGAAATTTTCACAGATGGCGTATTTCTGTTGCCGCTATAAAAACAAATACTAAAAAACAGAATAAACAATATTTAAGTGGGGGTCCCATACATCAGAGATGATTTTTTTACCGGTTTGCGGTTCCGAACATTAAAAAGTAAAACAGGAACCCTTATAAGATCGCTCTCCTGTCCGTCTGTCTGTCTGTGTCACCATCGATTTTCTCAGGAACGGGTGGGACTAGCAACTTGAAATTAATACCAGATACAGGGATCTATAGTCTCTAGTAGGTGTATAAAAATCAAGCTACGGGCAAATTTAAATTTCCGCGAAAACTTGTAAATTTCCCATTTGTACTGTAAGACCTTTCTTTTAAACAAGTGACAATTCCAGGTTTTTTTATGCCAAGCGAGCAGACGGTTCACCTGATGTTAAGTGAATATCGCCGCCCATGGACATCTGCCACACCCGAGGGTTACAGATGCGTTGACAACCTTTTGAAAATTGGGCTCCGGCTACCTCACTCACCGGACGAAACGCGAAAGTATTTGTCATACTTCCTCTTTACGCTGGTCTTCTGTGAGATCATGGTACTTACCCAGACGAGCCTACCCATTCGTGCAACAGCCGAGGCTGCTGCATGGCTCTACCACCGTTAAAAGGTTAGGTGAACCTGAAGTACCCTATAGGTTCGAAAACCTATAATTATGGTAGTTCCCCTTGACCTAGAATCACGAAATTTGGCAAAAAGCCAGTCTTAAGGCACAAATAAAGGAAAAATTATAAAAGATAAAAAAACGTTGCAAATTAAAGTTGTCCCCATATACATAGTTAACGCCAATTAAGATAGTCCTCTGATTTGTTTGGGCGCTCATGAAAATACAATTACGTACTAGATTATGGTATGAAACCCTTCGTGCCCGAGTCCGACTCGCACTTGGCCGGTATTTCTGTTTATTTATTAACTAAGGAAACAGTTTTTGTCGACCGGGGCGCTTTTCTATATATGAGAACGACATTTATCATTCAAATTTGTATAGTGCTAATCTCTACACTCGAGATGAAACATAAAATTTTTCGACATTTTTCTAACATTTTTTCTGCTATTCTTAAACTTAAGAGAAATATTAAAACTTTCCTTGTTTGTTGTGTCAGCTTAAATATTGTTCAATCAATAATTTCTTGCATACTGCTGTCGCTTTAAAATACGACATGGCTGAGACTTGGTAGAGAATACTCGTCATTTAGATTTTTAATTCTAATATTTAACACCATGATGGATGTCTGTTTAAATCTCGTTTTATCATTGAAGTTTTGTGTGTTTGAATACTACAAATAGAACATTTTATCGACATGAAATTTACTCTTACTGTGCCTCAATTAGATACGGATGATTTGGTGACTTCGTGGCGCAGCTTTTTAGCTATTGGCTTCGGTACCGAGAGTCTAGGGTTCGATTCCCACACGAGGCAGTATTGGTGTGATCCGCTGGTCTGGCTCTGGGTATTTATGCACAGGGTGTAGTAATTCCAATAAAACTTGGTTTTTACTTTTAAACACTTGTACTTAGAACACACCAAACTGTTATCTTTACAAATTATCACATCACAAAAATCAGCCTTCGTCTTCCTAAATTTCGGTATCTCTGTAGTGTCCCCTTCGACACTTGTTTAATAAAAAAAATATCGGATTTAATCAATTGACATCCTATTATATAGTATCTTAAAATTAAAGACGACCGAAAGTAGCCGACATCGAAGAAATCATGCCAGGCAAGTAATATGAGCGACAAGAGGTGTGCGTGGATTTTTTTAAGGAAAAAATCCTTAAAAAAATCCACGCACACCTCTCACGTCTCTAAGGGACACCGCCGCGAAAGCTTCTTACATTACGATTTACGTTTAATCATTTATTTATAGGTTATGTCCCCGCAACAATTTCCCGCGCATACTGTACGTGGTTGACATCAGCAGTAGCAAACGCGCTCGTCTCACGGCCACTAGGTTTGATTTGCATTGAAATTTGATAGTGTTTTCATGGAACTATGTGAAGAATGACGTCCTGGCAGATGACTCCTTCAGAAACTTACCATCTAAGACATTTCATAATACCCTTACTTTACAATAAGAAAATTTTAGGATGCTCATCATTGCTGCTCTGTGCAAAAATTATTTCTTGTTTTAAACGATCTATGTATGTCAAATTCACGACCCTTGAAAGCCATCTATCCAGTGTCTATTACGTCAAGTCAATTCGGTCTCGACATCTCTTAAACGGCGAGATTAGACTACACAATTCTATGACATCGGACAAAATGAAACCTGCTTTACTAATTCGATTTGGGAGGAAATTTAAAACATTCATTTGTCATCAACTTTAACAGTGTCTTTTCCGTTTGCAGTAAAAGAAAGTAGCAGACTATCAATGTCCCACTGCTGGGCAAAGGCCTCCTCTGTACAGAGGGTATCAGGGCACAGTCCACACCGCGACGATCTACCACCCCGCGATGTTTTTCCTTCAAAACTGAGTACGCGATAATTCAGCACTTGAAGTTGACAATTTCATTGGTGCCGGTACCGGGGATCGAACTCGTGTTGCTCGAGTAAATTGAATTAAAGGCGAGCCCGGGCACTGCGCTATCGCGCCTTAGGAGTATGTAGCTCGTATCATTCGCCGTAGCCGTTATAGTGTAGTTACGTTCCTGTCTGTACTCAGCGCGAACGGCGCGATGTAAT